CCTATAATGATACTAATATCGTGGACACTTAGCATCAGCGTCTTCCCTTTCGGTCAGGGATACAAGTATCGAGATGTCCTGTGTGAATACCTTCGTTATCTTCCTCAGCTGAAGGAGTCAAGTGATGGGCACTGAAGTAAAAATTGTAATTAGAGCAGCAAAATCTCAGAAGATTCTAGACGTCATCCAGGAAGATTCTAAATCAGTAGGGAATCAGCGAGCTTAGGAAAGGGTGAAACATTTCCAATCTGTCACTGGCTTTTGAGCAATCTATTTGTATCCTGGTTTCTGCGAACTGAAGATAAAGCTTGTTCATGAGATCATTGCTGTTTTCTGCGCTTTGCTCATCGAAAAGCAGGAATATTTCCACAGGTGGGAGGAAATGTATTGGCAGAGGAACTGTTTGATGAAACTCTGAGTGTATCTGTGTAGAAATGTGTCGGTTATGTCTGTGGACCTGCGGACCCTGTGGTTAGCGTCTCACTGCTCTTTATGTATGTGAACTGATCATGTCTAGCAGCGGAGCCCTGGTGGTACAGTGGTTAAGAGCTCGGCCTTCGCAACAGAAGCCCATTTGGACAGACTTTTCTTTATTCACACCTGATCTTCACCCATAGGCTTCCTAATTGTATAAATGAGCCTCGTTTCCATTACAAATTTCATTCATTCATTCATCCGTGTTAGACAGTGCTAGGCTCTGAGGATCAACAATGAGCAAAACATAGCTGCTACTCTAACAAGCAACTTAGAGAGAGCATGACAGACAAGTAAACCATGTGATGGGTTATATGAGAGAGGCTCACACAGACACACGAAGAAATGAGAAGAGGAGTGTGTCAGTCAGAGCCAGTGCGCAGCCAAAACACTGACATTCCACTTCAGGCTTTTGTCTACTGAGTAACAGACGGGAGTCAGTCAATGGGGCAATGGGGTTGGGAATTGGGCTCTTGGAAAGACAGAGGTACTACTTCCAGGGAGGTCAAATGAACTTTCCTTAGAAGAAGATGCCAGTATGGCTGAAGGCCCACTTGGATTCCTTAGCCCCAGGCTTTGGGATCTAAGGAAGTGGTGTGGGATACTATCTGCTCTGGCTCATTCTTCTTCTCACCCATCGCCTTAATTACCTCCAATCTACAGTGCACTCACGGAACAATAAATCGTATTCCTATTTACAAAGTAAGTGTGGGTGTCCCAAGACTGTTCTTTTTATACATACCTCATACATGTGGTTTTGTACAGTACAGGGAATGAACAGTGATTGAGGACCTTAGCAAATATAGGCAGTCCCAGCTCTTGGCTTTGTGATGTCATATATGTTGAGTTGCATATATACCCCTGTGGGAGTAATCCTGAGATGGTTAACAGTCGAACCTACCAAAGTTGAATAGTTTTGAGATGTGGAATCTTCATGGCTGCGCTGAGTCATTAGCTTCTGAGCTTCTGCGCCTAGCCTAATTATATTTATACTGTCTTGACTAGCATTTACTTTTTCTGTTCTAAGAGAGGTAAGGGAAGAAAAATGTATATATATTAACATGCCCAAATTACAATGAAAGAAAGTGAGTGGGATGATGGGCACTGATTTTTTGCCAGAGAAACTCATGTTTTGTCAAAGAGAGGAAATTAGAAGATGGGGTTCGGAGTCCTTGGGGAGAGGATTCAAGACTGGTCACAGCTAGTAGCCAGGCAGCCAACCATGCACAAAAAAATGCACAGCCTCCTAAGGGTCGATCCAGGTTTTGTGGAGAGCTAATATAACTTTGGAGGCCCTCTTTAAGAAGAATAACACAAAAGTACAAGTACCAATTAGGTACCGCGTCTTGGAAGGGGCCCAAGTTACTAAGGGACCATGAAGCTGAAGTTTCATTAGCTTCTCTCTGAATTCACCTCTGGGCCCCTTCCCATATGCTTCCCCCAACCAGTCAGCCAAATGTGGGTGGAGGTGACTGCTGCTCTCCACAGGATTGTTCTCTTTTTTTTCTTCCTTTGGCCTCCTCCCCACATACTAATCTACAGAATGCCATGTGTCAGCCTGTGTAACACACGAGGACTCCGCCACTCCCATCTTCTTGTCCCTGGAAAAGGCAAACTTCAGGCTATTAAGGCATAGCGGGGTGCAGTTTATGAGCAGAGGCAATAAAAACTGAAGACAAAAGGCTGTGCCAAACAGTGACTCAAGCGGGATATGAGAAGTAGCTGCAAGTATTTGAAGGGTGTAAGCATAGAGAAGGGAAAAGAATTGTTCACTGTTCTGGCGTGGAAAGGGAATAAGGATACAATTAAGTACAGAAAAACGTACAGAGAGCCCGTCAGGAAACATTGGCTAACTGTATTTTCTGGTACCGTGGGGCCGCATTGCCCATGGGAAGTACTTGAGGATCTGTTGAGTCACTGAAAACTACAACTGGCAGCAAAAACGCGCTGCAGGAAACAATCCTACAAGACGTCCTCACAGGAGGGGCTGGAAGCCCCCGAAGTTCATTCTGAGCCCTGGATTCCATAAGGCTGACACATGGCGTTCTGTAGATGAGTATGCGGGGAGGAGGCCAAATGAAGAAAAAAAGAGAACAATCCTACGGAGAGCAGCAGTCACCTCCACCCACATCTGGCTGACTGGTGGGGGGAAGCGTATGACTGAAGGAGGAAAAATGTGAGGAGATAGCACCACCCAGCACTGGGATGAAAACCATGTAGCCAGGAAACCAAGCCTGGGCTAAAACCTGTACCAAACTCCTTGCTGTCGAGTCCATTCCAACTCATAGCAACCCTATAGGACAGAGTGGAACTGCCCCACCCCATAGGGTTTCCAAGGAGCACCTAGTGGATTCGAACTGCCGACCTTTTGGTTATCAACTGTAGTTCTTAACCACTACGCCACCAGGGTTTCCAAGGAGGCCCTGAAAACTCAAAGGAAACCAGCAGCCAATGTAAAAAGTGACTACAAAATTTCTGCTCCCTTCTCTCAAACCAGAGTGATATCTCTGCCACAGTGAATAAAGGGTAACTTGGATGATACAGGAATCACTCCTGGACACGAACACGTGTTTATCAAATGTGCTGGTAACATCAGTCTGAGAAGAGTAAAGAATATATTGGGTGACAGCAGGATCCAAAGAGATTCTTTTGGCTAGAATGTGGACTAATTCAAACACTCTGAAGTTGAAGGGAACCTACCTTTTTGATTCTGCAAACCAATTGTACAAATATAGAATGGGGAAAACATTGTTTAGTAGCAAATCTAGAAAATGGGGGCAGGGGACAGGGCAGGATCTAGAAGGTATCATTAAATGTAAGCTCAGTATGAGCTCATTAGGGGTCACGTAGGTATCATTTTATGGCACATTAATTCCCTGAGTATGTAGTAAGACCTTTCTGAAATTCCTGGGCCTTACTCTGAAACGACTGTGGGATGTCTCAGAAAGCGCCCAAGAATCTGCATATTTTCCAAAGTTCCAAAGATTATTCCATTTTAAGTCAGAATTGAAAACTACTGCTCTACCTGAGGCCAACTCTTCAGACAAAGATTGGACTGGACTGTGGGACATAAAACGATACTCATGAAAATTGTGCTTCTTAGCTCAAGTAGATACATGAGACTAAATAGGCAGCTCCTGTCCAGAGGAGAGATGAGAAGGCAGGGGGGTTCGGGGGTTGTTTGATTGGCCCGGGGAATTCCAAGGTGGAAAGGAAGAGTGTGCTGTCACAGTACAGGGAGAGCAATTAGGGTCACATAACAATGTATGTATAAATTTTTGTATGGGAAACTAACTTGAAATGTAAACTTTCACTTAAACTACAACAATAAACAAGCATTAAAAAAGAAGCAAAAAAGAAAACTACTGCTCTAGAATGTGGGGCCCTGGTGGCGCAGTGAGTAACAGCTTGGCTGCTAACCAAAAGGTTGGCGGTTCAAATTCACCAGCTGCTCCTTGGAAACCCCATGGGGCACTTCTACTCTGTCGTATAGGGTCGCTATGAGTTGGGATCAACTCGATGGAGAGGCCCTTGAGGAATTTACAATCAAGAGAGGAAAGATAAGTAATTATAGTGGAATACAGAAAGGACAGTACTATGAGAGAGGTACAGCATCATGACAGGGAGGAGAGAACTGGTCTACCTTAGGGAGAAAAGAAACGCTTCAAAGAATGAATGACTTTTTAAGCCAATCTCAATGAGAGGCAGTTCAGCAGACAAAAAGATGAAAAGGCTTTCCAGGCAGAAGGAAGAGAACCAGCAAAGGCATGGCAGATGGAAGTCCGTGGACTGTTCAGGGAAAAACACGCAGTTGCAGAATGTCTCCAGCCTTGTCATTCTAATTAAATTGTACAATTTTTGAGGACAGAAAGAACAACGTGTACTTCTAGGTGACCAGCAACAAGAAGATACGCAAATTAACCCTTACTGATTTATCAGGTTACTTTTTTATGTTGGGGGAGAAATGGGATATATAGCCATAGGATTGCTGAGCCTGGATTTCACCAGTCCTACTCCTCCTCTATTCCACATCCTTGTCCTTACCCTTTCCCTAGCTCTCTCTCTCTCTCTCCTCTCTCAGCACTGCATGTGGAGAGAGAGTTCTTAATAATGCTTACTAAGCATGCTAACTAGAGGGTGGAGGCCAACCATGGCACAAGGAAGCAATTTCATCTCCATGGCTCTGTGAAGCCCAGACATTGCAGATAGTAGCGTTTATTCAAAGAGATGGAAAATCCTTCTCAAGGGAACCGGAACTTCTGTGGTAACGGTGACCCTGTAATATTCCCTGTGCCTGCCATAAAATCAAGCCCAATCCATTCACACCAGTTATACAGGGAATGGCAGTTAGATGGAAACTAGACCATCATCTGCTTTTTAAAGAGACTTCCCTCTGCAAATGCAGATCCTTGCTTCTTTGTGCTTAATCCCAGATCCCCACTGGCAAGCCCTCCTGTGTAATCTCCCAGAACAGCTGGGCCAAGATTGCATTGTCAATTATTAAATGCTTATGTTCCCTGCAAGGCAGCATTTAATCCTGAGGCACTCCAAAAAGTATGAGCTAGAAAGGAGGGGTAAGAAGGGGCCGGAGAAGGGTGGAAAGGCAGTTTTCACTCTTTCAACATTAAACCAGAGGGATCTGGAGCACAGATGGCACCCTGCGGTCCTTCTGAACAAGCTGCGAGTCGCTGACCATGCCCAAGGTAACCGGCTCCCCCTCTTATTGCTCAGGAGGCCCACTCCGTAGGTATTTTGCACCTGATTCTTTTAAGAGGTGTGCAGTCTTATCAATTTGTTGTCTGTATTAGCCTACGCTTATTCTGAGTTTTTTCTGTTAATTTATAATGATGGAAGAATTACTGCGTTTTTGGCACCCATGCACTTTTTGTTGATCTGAGTCCCTGAGTGTCAGGGAAGCCACCTTTGTCCCTTTTCATGAGCATAAAGGGTCACCTTGGTATGGGGCCTGTCAGCAAATACAGTGATACAGCTTTTCTTATGGCTGTTACTTCTTCACGATCAACTGCACCTTAAGGAAATCATTGCAAAATTAGATTTGTTCATCCAATTCAAGAGATGTATCTAGATCCTGGGGAGAAGAGACACATTGTCAGAAGTACAGAACTATGTGACAAAGAGCATGGTTGTATAGGTGTTGAAGAAAATGCTTGAAAATGAGGCTCCTTGTGTCTGTCCTTCGCGGCCACTCCTTCTGGAAGGACACTCTGAGCTTCAGTCCAAGCTCTCTTTCATTCTTCGTTTCTCAAATCACCTCTTCCCTTAAGTCAGCTGTCATCTTGATGCAGCAAGGTGGGTGTACCTTGGTGTGGGATTCGTTACTTCTTATTTCTGAACAACCTGGAAAATAACTTAAGAGATATGCGTAACTTGAAATGGATTGAGTGTAGGGTTAGAATCTGACATGATAGTGGACAAATTTCCAAACCAAATAAGATTGAAAATAAAGTTATTGAAAATGAACCCTGAGATTGCAAACCTTAGAATTGCCTGCATCCTTAATTCAATTTTTATACAGAATGATTGATGAAGATGTTTTACCTGGAAGCCCGTTTCCTATTGGAGCAGTGGATATAAGAATAATTAGAAAGGATTATTTATTAGAAAGAGTAACTCATAGTAACACAACAATGACTAAAATCAATAGGATCTTTGTAACTGAAACCAAGATGAAAACATTCTTTTTGGGACAGGGGACAACATATGACTCCTCTACCTGGCAATATAAGATCTTTTCTTCTTCCAAATGCTGTGGTTTTTGAGTCCTTAGCCAAAGTCACCTCGAGTCTTGCAAGGACTAAGAATTCTTGGTGGAGTTAATTTGTTGAGTGCTTTAAAAAAATCATATTAGCAGATTGTTTCCCAGAAGCTGTTTTATTGTGTGTTTTCTATATGAGTTTTACATATATATGAACTTTGCTTATTACGTATTGCCATAAATAATACGCCCTCTGTAGTATGCACTGCTTTAGTCCCTGGGAATTCTGAAGAATAAACTGTTGTGTTTCTAAGATAAAGTTCTCTGTTAAATGTAGAAAATGTTAAGCTGGGGATGAGGAGAGAGGCAGATTTATGGCGCTGTCCCATTTAGCTATGTTTTTATTTACATCTCTTAAGCTAAGCAGGCTTAGGCCTGATTAATTCTGATACGCAAGATCCCCTGGAAAGCTCTAGATGGTTTACTCTAAGCAGCATCTCTCAGCAACTAAGGATGGGCTTCTTCCCTGGTCAGTGTATATAACAGCACAAACTCCTCCATAAACAAAGTGCAAGACACGTCAGATTTCATTTTTCTAAATTATGTTAAATCAGGCTCCAAGCCACTGCTTGCCAAAGTGGACAAGTTCAATGCTTGGTCATTTTTCAGGTAATGCAGGAAAATGAGGAGGAGGGCAGGGATTCTAGCCAGAGCCACACTGCTCATGGCTACTTTTTACACTACCCCCTGCTGCCCCACCAGCTGCAGAGACACCCCTCAACGTCCTCGGCCCTGACCAAGGGCTTGGCCGCGGGCACCCAACCACTGCTCCATGCCCCACACTTGGTGTCCAGCCTCCACAGGCACGGTGCAACCATCTTCCATTTAAGATTCTGTCATCTCAGTGGCAGTGGATGGAAGCTGGGTCAGATCTCGGCCTGTCTCGGAACCTATTAATCCTACTTCCTCTCCCAGGACCAGGGGTTTCAATAGCCCCACATGCCTTCTTTTATCCTCAAAGTCCCAAAGCCTCCATTCGTTCCCCCTGGAGGTGATCCCTTTAACGTTCATTGGTAGGACACATCCCCTTTACTCCCTTCACAGGAATCCGTACTGCAGGGGAGGGGAAACTGATAACTCACTTTGTTCCAATAATAAATGATCTCAGCTAGTCAGTGCTGCTAATGTTCAATGGAAACAAACCCCAAAATAATTACTACAAAACATGTTTAGAGTGCTTCCAATTCTTTTTCTAAACCTTATATACGATAGCCTCAGGGGCTTAATCACACTATGACGGAGGTTGTTATCTGATGTTTAATCAAATCATCCTTAATAAGCCATTCCTTGAGCGTCTAATGTGCAAAATACCACGCTAGACGCCATAGGGAAGATAAAATAAAAACGACATGTTTGCTACCTAAAGGCAGTCTGAAGTCTTCAAGGGGAGGTAAGACATGACCACAAAGAAATGTGGTAGAGCATCATGGAAAAGGTAGAAACCAAGTTTCCCTGAAGCCCTTCCCAGCCTCACTTCCCATGGAAGGTGCTGGTTAGGGGAGCTTCCTGAAGGAGATGGGGCTCGGGATGAGTCTTTAAGGGCAGGATTTCAGTAGACACAAACTGGCCAGAGAAATATTTGTAGTGATACAACTTGTCCTCTCTCTTACCCAATCTCTGCTGGACTAAGGGCACCAGCTAGTGGTCGCCCTTCATCACTGCTGCTCAGAGTACATGATGTGAGGGGGTCATTATGGCCACTTCCACAAAGATACACATTCTCCCTAATGCCTGTCAGCTGGAGGCCAGGCAGAGTCTACTTGTACCTTTTGGGGCAGAAATGGAAGATTTTTTAGTATTATTTTTTATGGTGGTAAAATATATATAACATAAAATGTACCATTTTAACCGTTTTTAAGGGTACAATTCACTAGCATTAATTACACTCACGATGTTGAGCAACCATCACCACTATGTATTTCCAAACTATTTTCATCACCCTAAACAGAAACTCTGTGTCCGAAATGGAAGGGTTCCAGTGCATTCTAACTTCTGCATCCTTCATTATAATTTGTCCTATCTGGTGGATCACTTATATCCCTACTTCCGTGCACTGCTGTATGTCATCCCACAGGCCAGCCCCGCTCATTCTTTGACCTACACAAATCAGCTTGTCTTCTGGGGGAACCACACAAGGACTAACTTCAAAAAACATTATCGTTATGGTGCTTGCTTTGTGGCCACACCGGAAGCACAGTGACCACACGGCTACTTGGAGAAAACTCCCACAGGCTGGTCATACCTGTCATTGTTGGAGGAACGTGGCTTGAGTTAGGGAGCCACAGGGAAGGATGTGTATGTGTCCCCCCACCCCACCCCAAGGGATCTTTCCCAGGCAAAGAATCAGCTAGGCTAGCTAAGGGCTGGGGCTGGAGTGGGCGTACAGCACAGCCCAGATCTCCACACTCTCAAGCTCTCTCCCCATCCACTTGTGTTTGTCTGTTGCAGATGGAGTTCCCGAAGGTCCTCCCCAGCCAGCGGGCCTTCATATCTGCCATCCTCAACATGCTATCACTCAGCCTCTCCACAACATCCCTGCTCAGCAGCTACTGGTTTGTGGGCACACAGAAGGTGCCCAAGCCCCTGTGCAGAAAAGGTCTGGCAGCCAAGTGCTTTGACATGCCGATGTCCTTGGTTGGGGACAACACCAACACATCAACCCAGGAGGTGGTGCAGTACAGCTGGGAGACTGGGGATGACCGATTCTCCTTCCACACCTTCCACAGTGGCATGTGGCTATCCTGTGAGGAAGTCATGGAAGAATCAGGTAACCTCCTTACCCCATCTGCCTTGTTTGTTTTTCCCCCAAGGGATCCTACCGAGGCAAAGAAACAGCTAGGCTAGCTAATGGCTGGGGTAGGAGTGGGAAGTATAGCACTCCTCTGCACCCACCGGGCCTCACTTCCAAGCTCAGCATCTTCCACCTCTGTACAGTGTCCCTTCCCCACAGGGTTTCCTTTTTATCAGGTCAAGTCCATCCAGTGTTTCATCTCTTGCCTCTTTAATAGTAGATTGCTAACAAAGTGGCTCACCTGTTTAAAATAGCATTAACCTTAAGGATTTCATTTAGACCTCTAGGATGACGAGAATTTCCATTCTAGTGAGCTACAATTGCTATTTAGAAACAAACTAAGTTGAGATGAATATTGCAAAAAAAAAAAAAGTCCTAGCTCTACCTAGCTGTGACCTTATATGAATAACTTCATTTCTACAGGCCTTGATTTTCTCATTCTGAGATGAAAGGATCAGAGTAGATCACCTTTAAAGCTCCTTCTGTCGTCATCCCCCACCCCCACCAAAAAAAAAAAGTGTTCCCTTATTCTAGGTATTATTGTTGCAATTTTAAAGGTAGGGGAACTGAAGCCAGAGAGGATAACTAGATCCTGTAAGGAGGCCCATGAGGAGCTGAAGACAGAGCCTCCCAGGTCTCTTGCCACCTCAGTGCATACCAGCAAAGCAGGCACTGGCCCTGTGTGTGTTAGTCAGCAGGGGTTCCTCAGGTTAGGAGGAGTTAGACTGAGGACTCTGACTTCTCCCTGCACACGGCATCCAACAGCCACCTTGTGGCCTGGGAAGAGAGCTCCTGGTAGGGAATTTTTTCTAGTGCCCAATTTCCCTAATGGGCTAAGGGAAAAGGGGGATGAAGAAGAATATAAATGCATGTGTATTTACATTTGTCAATTATTACTGTGCCATAGCACTTCTCCAACCCCAGTCTTGGAAAATTTAGAGCTATTCAGTTCAGTGATGCAACAGCACCAAAAAGGTATTGGTTAATATGAGAATTGTTAACTCTTCCAGATACAAGAAACGGGAACATTTTTCTGTGTAGGCACTCTCAGGGGAAATGTCTTTCTCTTCATCACCAGTAATGGAGGAGAAAGAAGTTAATTTGGATGACTCTTGCCTATGTCATTCATTTATCCATGGATTCTTGCCTGCTTTCTAAAGGAGACATTTATTGAATTATTATATGCTAGGCAGGCACTGTGCCAGAGTAAACGGAGCAGCACCAGGTATGGGGTTGGGGAAGGCTTTCATCCCAATTGTCCCAGGAAGCACCTCCATGAGGTTGTACCTTGTATATGTTTCAGGGGAGAGGTGCCGAAGTTTCATTGAACTCACACCACCAACCGAGAGAGGTGAGAAAGGACTACTGGAATTTGCCATGTTGCAAGGCCCACGTCACCCCACTCTCCGATCTGGAGGGAAGCGGTTGATGGAGAAGGCTGTTCTCCCCCACGTCCCCTTGGGGCTTGTGGCAAGTATGTAGGTTTGTTAAAGAATTTAGTCGCTAGTAACGTGGGTCTCTCTTGATTTAAATTGTACTATGATCTGCTTTTCTTTCCTTCTGTGCCCCACTGGGAAACACAAATCCTTTCTGCAGCTGACTTCATTCATCTTCAGGAATGGAAAAATGTAACAGCAGGGATGAAGTTCACAAGGAGAAAACCACCAACGGCTCTTACTCCTTTACTAGCTTTTGCCAAGTAACCAGGTTGAATAGTTTAAGTTTTTCCTCCAAGCATTTTTTTTGTAAAACGGAAGGAAGGACTAAGGAAGGAGGGAGGGAAAAGAGAAAGAAGGAAGAAAGAAAAACAAACAAAACTGATTGTCTCAAAATTAACTGAGACAAAAGTTATATCCCTGCAAGATTTTATGAAAATCGGATTGCTTCTCAAATCTCCCTAACAGTATTTTCAGTCAATCAAGTTTACTTGATTGGCTATTGATACTGGATACTGAGCAGACTGGGAGCCAAGGAGATCAAAGAACACAAAACTGATGTTCCTAGCTGGCTGCAGCTGTCTCATTCTCCCCTTCGCTGATACTCTTCGGCTGTTAACTTCTAACAAGCATCGTGTGTTCACCCGCTGGTTCAGTTATTCACTGTCAGGGTAAGCGTTCCTTCCTCCTCTGGTTTCCCACAGGGATCCTCTGGTTATCGCTGGGAGCCCAGGTCACCTACATTGGACTTCAAATCACCAGCTTCCTCCTGCTACTAATGGATTTGCTATCCACTGGGAACCCTGGCTGTGGGCTCAAGCTGAGCGCCTTCGCTGCTATTTCCTCCGTGCTGTCAGGTGAGCGCCTCCCAAGGGGGCAGAGGTGGTTGTCCTCAGCTACCTGTGAAGCACTCGCTGAAGGGTTTGAGTCTCTGTCATGAGGGGAGGAAGGAAGAGGCCAAAGGCAGTACAAAGAATGGGGTGTGAGATCCATTACAGGCGTCTTTAAATTGAAATGGCGTGTGAAATTTTATATTGGATCATCATGTACTTTACAAAATAATTTATCTCTAGGTTCATTTCATTCGCAAGCTTTCTTTATATGTAAAATATATTGTTTGGTTTATTTTTCAGTCATGACATATACACACCTTTTCAAGGCTACCTTGGTTGGATAAAATGAGAGATGCATATATAAGATCAAAAATAAAGCCAACGTTGGGGGTATGGGCGGGACAAGTAAAAGGGAGAGGCAACCCTTGGTGCAACAGCCATTGGTGCAGCACCGGGGGCTCGGGGTAACCTGCAAAGATATGCACTCAAGAAGAAGCCCCCATTACTGATCAGTCTCCCTGGGATTGTGGTGGCATATGGATAATGGAACATTCAGGCTAGACTGCACTTTGATGCAAAATGAAGAGGTTGCTATCATTGACTGTCTAAGGGTTCCACCCTTCTGTTTCCTCTGTAGGCCTGCTGGGGATGGTGGCCCACATGATGTATTCACAAGTCTTCCAGGCAACTGCCAACTTGGGTCCAGAGGACTGGAGGCCACATGCTTGGAATTATGGCTGGGCCTTCTAGTAAGTACTTATCATCGCCTGAACCTTCCAAGTCCCTTCCCAGCCAACCTTCGTTAGATTTTCTGCCCTAAACTGGATGCTTGCTTTGTGTCCTTCTGCCTTCTCTTCATCCTCAGAAGTCTGTCACAGTCAAATATATGGCTGGGCCATCGGGTCATAGCATTCTTTCCCCACCTTCTGAAGAGTGGCAAAGAGGATTCTTCTGGTTTGTTTTGTGAGGATGCTACCTTGTCTAGTTGTTCTGCTGATACAGCTATGGCAATCACTTCTTCCCCTGATATGTGTGCTGCCCAAGGGAAAGGAAACACTGTGTATGGCTTATGGAAATTCTTTATATTTTATAGTTATACTGGATGACTCAAGGCATTGGAGGACAGAGAAATGGAGAATTAGCCTTGAAATTTGGATTTAATTCCATTCCTTGTGAATGGCTCACTCTTCTCCTCTAATGAAGTACTCTAATTTCTTCCTCCTACTTCCATTCTTATTCCATAAAACTGTGTTAGAAACAAAACTTTCCCTACCACAGTCATTCCCTAACTCGTAAAGAACTAAGGGGTCAGTTATTTTAGATTTCTCTTAAAAAGCCAGAAGCAACAACCATGACAAAACACACACATTCAAGCTGTACTTTCCCATTGTTCTAGAGCTTCTCACTTTCTCCCTACAGGAGCCTGGATATTTTTTATTCACTGCATAGTTGCCAGTCTAGACCTGAATTTCCATTCTAAAGAAAGCAGTATGGAAACCCATACAGGCATTTTTTTTCCTTGAATGTCTTTTATAAGATCCTATCCCCTTTCTCATGGTCTAAAATGTGCTATTTGATTCAGTGGTTCTGGTCTCCTCCACCAGCCACCACATCAGCTTAGCTCACTTTTCAGACCCCCCGTTTCTCACCTTGGTTTATCTTCTAGTCATTCTTAGTGTAACAACTCCTGAGCGCAAACTACAAAACTCCCAGCAGAAGCAGCTCAGCTGCTGAGGTGTCTACGTAGAAGTTTGTCAGAGGCAGCAGACAGGAACATACAGTACCAGCATGTGGCCTGGCTTTAACCATCACTTGGCCTCATGGAATCCCTCACTAACCTCACAAAACTTCCTGTTTCCTGAGCTTCCCAGAATCATGGGGAGATTTAGGGGTTTGGCTTTCCAAGTTTATAAGAATGTGTTTGATATTGTTCCCTGGTGTCTTTATTTTTTTTTCTTTCTTTCTTGAATTTATCCAATTTCTCTTAATCTCTAGCTTCTCTCCCATCCATTATAAACTCCCTTAAGCCAAGAACCACAGTTTTCATAATAAGCAAATTCCACTAGTGCAACCTATAATACCTCTAGATTTGTAACAAATGTTTCTTGAATGACTCTCAGACATTCATCTTTGTGGACCCTAAGACTGCAAAGTTCAGAACAAAGGATAGAAGAAGAGGGATGATTCCTCTTGGCATGAGTGAAAGAAATCTTTGGCAGGGTATATGTGTCTTGGGGGAGGGGGAGGGAAGAAGGTTATTGCATTAGGCTGTGTCCACTATATATAAAGGTATGGAGATTATAAAGGGTAAAACACACAGACCTGGGTGGGATAAAAGAGCATGGCCCTCCATGACAACTAAATCAATTCAGTGAAAATAAGTCTGTTAAACCCCTTGTCTGACTTTAACACTGAATGAGTCATTTTTTTATTTACAAAACATTCAGAATGTATCCTCCTACTACAGACCAAATTCAGTCCTCTTGCCCACAGCTCTACCTGGAACATGGAGGAAGGCAACACTCTCAGGTCCCGAAATCCCTAAGAGGCACCAGCCTAGTCTACTAAAAGGAAGAAATCAAGGTGTTTTGTTTTCACCCTGTACAAACGATCCTGATGGTCCACTTTGTGTACATTTGTCCCTAGCACGGCCTGGCTCTCCTTCACCTGCTGCATGGCGTCTGCTGTCACCACCTTCAATACGTACACCAGGATGGTACTGCAGTTCAAGAGCAGGCACAGTAAGAGCTTCAAAGACAATCTGAGTCGCTGCCCACACCACCACCAGTGTTTCCTTCAGCAGCTGTCATCTGCTGCCCAGTCAGGGGGGCCTTTGACTGGCTACCACCAGTACCAAAATCAGCCGGTCCACTCTATCTCTGAAGGAGTTGACTTCTACTCAGAGCTACCAAACAGGGGACTTCAGCAAGGGACCAGCCAGGGGCTAAAAGAAGAGGTCACTGGGTCATCTGTAGAGGAAGAGCAGTGTTAGGAATAAGTGGGTTTGGAGTGCAGGCTAAGCCCTACCTTACATGTTTGTTATCAACATGTGCTTAAGCCCAAGTTCTGTTTCTTGAGTGTGATTTTTAGAGGCTAAGAATAAGGGTATCTTAAAGTACAAGTCCAGTAGGGTCCCCAGATGCCACTGCTCCCTTCTCCTTCAGAGCTGTCTCGTTTCACCCATTCCCCATCTATCAGTTTCCTCTGGCTGCCAGAACAAATTAGCACAAACTGGGTGGTTTAAAACATCAGAAATTTATTTTCTCACAGTTTTGGAGGCTGGAAGTCTGAAATCAAGGTGTCAGCAGGCTCATGCTCCCTCTGAAGGCTCTAGGGGAGGATCCTTCCTTGCCTCTTCCTAGCTTCTGTTGGCTCCTGGCAATCCTTGGTGTTCCTCGGCCTGTAGCTGCATCGCTCCAATCTCTGCCCCCACCTTCACGTGCCTTTCTTATCTCCCGTGTCTCCGTCCTCCCCTCCTATGAGGGCACCAGTGGCTGGATTTAGGGGCCACCCTAATCCAGTATGACCTATCTTAACTTAATGACATCTGCAAAGACTCTATTTCCAAACAAGGTTCACATTCTGAGATGGCAGGTGGGCATGAATTTTGGGGGAAACGCTATTCAACCCCACCACACTCTGTATCTCGTTTCTCCTTCCTGTGCATTCAGAATTCCCTTCTGTCCTTTACTGATTGTTGGTTATGTCCCAAGTCTTGGGATAAGCAATAGAGATTAAAGGGGAGAAGAAAAGGCATAAAATATAGTCCCTGCTCTTAAAGGGGTTATAAATCTGGCCATTAATGTGGGATTTGGAGGAGCAGAGGTGGGCAAATTAACAGTAGTTGGATTGAGGCTCAACTTCGAGGGGTGTGCTTGAATTTTCTGGAAGTAACATATGAAAGATGAAAGCACTGCTGTGACCTCTGACATCTAGGACTGATGTCCTCCACACTCCCCATTAGTGTCCTGCATCCACATGGTAGACACCCAGTAAAAAATTTCATTAAATATTATCCTAGAGGCCATTCTGAGGGTAGTATAACATGAGAAGGCTCCCAGAGCATACAGAGACAGGTCAACTTCCAAAAATGGCCCACCGAGGCATTTCCAGATAGGATTATGACTCCCCTGTGGAGAACCATACTGGAGACTGCCCCAGCAAACAGGGCTAGGGCATACACTCCTCTCTAAGTCCTCACCTTCTCCTTGTCCCTTCTGAGAGACTCACCGTATTATCTTCCCCATAAAGAATGCCATCCACCCATTCACCTTTTCTCTTTTCCATAAGGAAAACAAACCATCCTTGATGTCTATGAAGAAAGAGAATAGCACACACGTATGTTCCTGTACATAGTATTTATTCTGTAACACTTCACATTTTAAATAGTGCTTCCTGACAATATACCAGCTGGCTTTTCTTTAATATGGACAAGAAGGAGAACAATTCACATTTAAGGGTGGTGGTGTCACCATACCACAACAGATGGGTAAGTAGAGACCATTTGAGGTATGGGGAGGATGTTGTTTGGGAAGAGGGGGAGGGTTTGTTAAGAGAAACAAAGAAGAGAGATTGGGAGGAGAGAAGACCCCTGCACTTGCAGAAGTTATTACTGCTGCTAAACAGTGGCTATACTGGCTTTCCCGGCAACCCCATGTTGGGAGCAGGGAAAGAAAGGAGCACTTCCAATCTTGGATATGTGGTTGAGTGGCTGCCTGCGAGGAGAAGGATGTTTAAGGACACATTTGACAAGAGACCAGCACCCACACTGGTCAGATGAAGCTTCATCAATCTTCAGCCACCACATACACCCGTTGGTACTGGCTGCCAAGAGGGAGGAGAAATCTAGAGCTGACACTGTGTTTAACAAGAGGAGATTCAAACTTACCACAGTCAAACAATCCGTTAAATTGGTTTGCAAACACACCATGGAGAATTCAGGGACATTGTGTTTTTCTAGCTTCCTTTTATGCATTTTCTGGGACTCACCCAGCAAGAGCACAGTCTTCTGCCCAAAACAATCCCCTTGAACCTGGTCCTCAGTAGACAACTGTGCATTTTATTCCTGCCTAGAGTGGCTGGCTTCCCAGAAAGCTTCAACATGGTAGAGAACTGAGCCTTGATGGCTCAGCCCAGGCCGCAGGACAACAACCAAAGTTTTGAGTGTTCAGTTGGATATAATTGGTCCTTAGAATTCTATACTAGATGAGATCCTAGGCAACTTCTACCCAACACCCTAGAAATGAACCTGGGATCATCCCCATACTCTGCTATATCCTCCCATTTTTCCCCCGAAGTCTAATAAGCCAGACCCACACAAACCTTCCAAAGTGCTGAAACAAAATTTGCTCTCAGGGGCTTAAGGCAGGTGTGCCCAAAAATTTAGTAAGGCCCATCTGCAGGCCAGGCAACATGCCTGCTTGGATCTACCACTACCAACCCCCCGTTATGTCTTAATGTCTATCGGTGGGCAATTAATACATATCCCTTTAGATGTGGCTGTCAATCAATAAGAATTTTTCTCTGAAATCTCTTTATTAACACAAACTAAAAAGATACAGGCCCAAGTATCTCAATCTATCTCAAAACTATTCAAGAAGAAAAGCTGTTCTCCCCCAGCTAACAGGGTTTTCTGCTATATAAACAATGACCTAGAAGTTTAGAAGGGAACTTAACAGTGATAATAAATTTATATATATAGGAGAAGTGGGAAGTAAGCACTGGAGGTAATTCTAAAGAACTTAAACTATTTACAAGATATAGTATTTACACAGGAATTTTCTCAAAATGCAATGGTTCAAAGGCTCTACAAGGAAGATGATGTGCAGGGCAGAATGGCTGCATACTGGTCTCAAGTGGCAAGGCTCAATGTCCAGAAACAACTCTGCTCTCATGCAAGCAAAGCCAAACTATCCCTGAATAAAAGAGAAAGGAAAAAAAAAAAAAAAAAAAAAAAAAAAAAGGAGGTAAGGAGGAAGTCCTAGAGGAAAAGCTGTTAAGAAAGCAGAGTAGGGATGAAGCAGGAATAAGAGTATCAGCCTCAATTGTTCCTGATGTCCAGTTTCCATCTAAGTTAAGGAAAGCCTACATGTATACAGTCCTGAAGCTGTTGTTGTTAGGTGCCAGTGAGTCGATCCCGACTCATAGCGACCCCACATACAACAGAACAAAACCCTGCCTGGTCTTGCACCATCCACACAATCGTTGCTATGTTTGAGCCCGTTGTTGCAGCCACGGTGCCAACCCATCTTGTGGAGAGTCTTCCTCTTTTTCTCTGACCCTGTACTTTACTAAGCATGATGCCCTTCTCCAGGGACTGATCTCTCCTGATAACATGTCCAAAGTACATGAGACAAAGTCTCACCATCCTCGCTTCCAAGAAGCATTCCGGCTGTATTTCTTCCAAGACAGATTTGTTCGTTCTTCTGGCAGTCCGCGGTATATTCAATATTCTTCGCCAACACCACAATTCAAATGGGTCGATTCTTCTTTGGTTTCCTTATTCATTGTCTAGCTTTCACATGCATATGAGGCAATTGAAAATACCATGGCTTGGGTCAGGCACACCTTAGTCCTTAAAGTGACATCTTTGCTTTTTAACACTTTAAAGAGGTATTTTGCAGCTGATTTGCCTAACGCAATGCATCATCTGATTTCTTGACTGCTGCTTCCATGGGTGTTGATTGTGGATCCAAGGAAAATGAAATCCTTGACAACTTCAATTTTTTCTCTGTTCATCATGATGTTGCTTATTGGTCCAGCTGTGGGAATTTTTCTTTATGTTGGCTGTAGTCCTTGATTTTTTTCAGAAAGTGCTTCAAGTCCTCTTCACTTTCATCAAGCAAGGTTATGTCATCTGCATATCACAGGTTGTTTCTGCTGCTGCTCGTAAGGTTTTCACTGGTCAATACTTTACAAGTAGATTGCCAAGTTACCACAGTAAAAAAAATCATGACTGTCATAACAATCAAAACCAAATAAAAAATAACATATGGACTTCGTCAGAGATGGGTCATTTACACTATTTCTCTTGCTCCCCTTATCACAGGAAAACAGTTACTCTTACAGCCATTAAATATATAGAGATTGAAAACCTGAGGAAACAGAATACTTAAGACAAGGAAGAGGTACAAACACTGGTGTGGCTAACGCAGTCTTCCACCACCAGGTTCCTTCTCACTGCTGCCTCTGATTGGGAAGTAGCCAAGGTACAGGTGGGGGAGAATAAGGAGAAAAATTTCAAGTGAGCCTCAGTATCAGAGGTAGGACATCTGCAAAACTCAAGACAACCAAACAAACCAGATGTGCTTCATAAGAGCGAGAAACTGGATCCCTGGAGCTTAGGACGTTATCTGGAAAATGCTTCACCACAACACTAAAAAATACACACACAGTGTAATGCAAAACAAGACATTCCCTATTACAGAACTTCACTGGAATTTCCCAGCAGGAGCTTATAAATTAGACATATAAAAATAAAACACTTATAGGATTCACATTTCCAAACTACCCACACAGTACCTAGAGGGGGTTAATGTAGGGATTGAAAAGGTAGGTGAGACACCCCAGCCAAACAGCTTATGCTGTTATCAAAGAATTCCAACGTGCCTTCCAAACTGCTTTGCAACAATCTCACGGTGGTGCTAAAATGAGGTTCAAGTCTTCTTTCTCTCCAAAGAACTGATGTTATTTATACTGACAAGACAGGGTATCCATTCTATTCATTTCTTTAGAAACTGAAGATTCCATCAGACTAGACCTAGGACAAAAGGTGGACGTATCAGTGACTTTTTTCAGTAATTTTTTTCATGGTAGAGATTATCAAAGAAAAGAAATGGGAAAAGCCTAAAGGTCAGAATATTCCTCTAAATATTTTCCTGATTTGTCTTGCCCCAGTTTGTAAGTGCCCTTCCAGAAAGACCCAGAGACTTAATCATTTTCTGTGATAAATTCCTGAACTTTGAACTAGACCATAGTAGCCATAGAGAGTGAATCAGCATTTTGAGCATGATAATTCTTTGTCATATGGAACTGCCACAGGTCCTGCATAATGTTAGCATCACTGGTCCTTGCCCAGAAGATACCAGTAGCATCCACCCTCTCAGTCAGTAGGACAATAACATGAGCCTGCATTTCCAAATGCCCCCCAAGGGAGATGGTACCATTTCTAGCTGAAAACAATTAACTGAGGACCATTTCTTAATGATCATGAAGCACCCTTAGGAAATACTGCTGGTCCAAACAAATGGGTCTCGATACCCAGCTACTTAAGAAAGCTCCCATTCTCCCTACTTTCTAAAGAACAAAGTTGGAGTTGGCATTTGTCCTAAACCCACAAGAGTAACCAAATATTTCTTTCAGAAACTACTCACCTGGTAAGGAGAATCAACAAACTTTATCCTAGAGAGGAATCTTCGCAGCTCCCCACGGCCAATTTTGGGGGTGGTCTCCTTTTGCTGGACCATTTGGCCCTCCATGAGTGCCCACCGTAGACTAAGCTTGCTGACCATCAGGGGCGCTAAATGGTCTTCAGAGCTTTGCCCTGTTGTCCTGGTAACATAAAAGGCATCTTTCCAGAGGTCGTTAATTCCAACTGAGGAAGGAGAAAAACAAGAGCAGTTGACAAGGACAGATACCTTCCACTAAAAGGGGTGTGGTTTGGTTCGCAACTAGATTCCTTCGTTCATTCATGTATGCATCCATTCATTCATACAAGACATTTACTGAGCACCTAATAAACACAAGGAGTCCCTGGGTGGTGCAAACAGTTCACAGGCTCGGCTGATATCCGAAAGACTAGAGGTTCAAGTCCACCCAGAGGTAACTCAGACAAAAGGCCTGGTGATTTACGTCTGAAAAACAGCCACTGAAAATTGTATGGAGCACAGCTCTACTCTGACACACATGAGGTCACCGTGAATGGGAGTCAACTTGATGGCAAGTGTTCGTTGTTGTTTTTAATAAATGCAAGGTACTGAGCTAGAGACTGGGTGCAGAGGTGAATGACTGGAAACCAGCAAAGCAGCATACATGTTTGCACCTTTACTTTTCTAAAGTTATTTCCAAGAAAGCCCCAACTCAGGAAATGAGAGGATGTGGCAACTACAGCGAGAATTTAGTATTTTCAAATAAGCTGTCTTAGGCTGGGTTCTCTAGAGATGCAAAACCAGTGAAGTGCTGTGTATATATACAGAGAAATTTATCTCAAGTAAATTGGCTCATGCAGTGGTAGAGACTGGCAAGTCCCAAGTCCGTGGGTCAGGTGTCAGGCTGAAGATTTCTCCTGACTCACGTAGCTGCGGGGACTGATGAACCCAAGACCAGCAGGTCAGATGGCAGGCCATTGGCTCACAGGCTGCGGAACCTGACAAACCCCAAGATTGGCAGGTAAGTTGTTAGCTCAAGTCCCAAGAACCAAGGTCAGATGATGATGAGTCAGATACAGGATCCAGAGCAAGAGCCTTGCTGGAATATCCATTTATACTGGAGGCAGGCCACACCCCCAAGGACATTCCCTTTCAACTGACTGGCTACTTATAGCAAATCTCATCATGGAGTTGATTACATTATTACATAACTGCCAAATTACATCATAACTGCCAAGCCACTGAGAATGATGGCCCACCCAAGTTGACACACAACCTTATCCATCACAGTCCACCCCTTGTCAACTTGGCACCTGTACACATCTCCTTAAATCATACATAATATCTAAGTAAAGACAATTATAAACTCATACTTGTGTGTACCATGATACAACTGACACATGTACAACTGAAAACTCACTAGCCCAGTTTACATCTTACATTTTTATAAGAAACCAAAATGTTTGATGCACACATACAAGTCAGAAATACTCATATTTAGAACTACCTTCTTCCACCACTCATTCTGTATTCCCTTTGCTCTCAGCAAGCACCTTAACTGGTCGTGGTTCTTTGCCTGGTGGGGTGACCCAAACCTTCATTCCTGAAAGGTCTGGGCCATTAGTAGTCATGCCAGAATTGGGTTGCTGTAGATTTCCATTGACTTTAATCACAGGGCATGGTAGTACTAAGAGACGCCCTAAGGGATCTCCTGTATTTCAGACACACTCTTCTTTACTTCCATTATGTAGTATCAATCAAATTTCCTCTTGGTAATCAGGATCAATCATATCAGCCAATATGGTATCTCCCTTCTTTGCCTGTTGATCCAGAGGCACAAGGAGCCCAAAGTGGCCAGGCAGCATTCTTAACTTCCAGTTCAATGGAATCAGTGATGTGTCTCCAGGTGGGAGCATTCCTCCCTTTGGAACTAAGACTTCTAGACTCACAAAGCATAGGGTCACAGGGACAGGTGGCAAAAATTTTGCAAGTGGGTCACCAAGGGTAATAGTGAGTGGTGCCACTCCCATTTCCACCCCTTGATTCCTGGACTCATGAATCCTGGCTATGACAGAAACAGTACCATACACTGGATGCTGGTTTAGAGCATATACAGCCTCCTGGAGAACACTGCCCCAACCCTGCAAGGTATTGCCACCTAGCTGGCATCGTAATTGTATCTTTAGAAGGCCATTCCATCGTTCTATCAAGCCAGCTGCTTCAGGATGTTGGAAAACATGGTAAGACCAGTGAATTCCATGAGGATGGGCCCACTGCAGAACTTCATTTGCTGTGAGGTGAATCCCTTGATCTGAGGCAATGCTGTGTGGGATACCGTGACAGTGGATAAGGAATTCTATAAGTCCATGGATGGTAGTTTTGGCAGAAGTATTGCATGCAGGAAAGGCAAATCCGTATCCGGAGTGTCTATTCCAGTCAGAACAAAATGCTGCCCTTTCCCTGATGAAAGCAGTCCAATGTAATCAACCTGCCACTGGATTGCTGGCTGATCCCACTGAGGAAGGGTGCCATATCAGGGACTCTTTTGGTCTCTGCTGCTGGCAGACTGGGCACTCATCAGTAGCTGTAGACAAGTCAGCCTTAGTGAGTGGAAGTCCATGTTGCTGAGTACATGTATAACCACCATCACTACCACCATGGCCACTTTGTTCATGAGCCCATTGGGCAGTGACAAAGAGTGGCTGGGGAAAGAGGATGATTGGTTTCCACAGAGTGCATCATCCTATCCACTCGATCGTTGAAATCCACTTCAGCCGAGACTACCCTTTGGTGAGCGTTCACATGAGACACAAGTTATCTTCACTTCTTTAGCCCATTCAGAGAGGTTTATCCACATACCTCTTCCCGATACTTCCTTGTCACCAATTTTCCAATCACATTCCTTCCAAGTCCCAGACTATCTAGCCAAACCATTGGCCACAGCCCATGAATCGGTATACAGTTTTACATCTGGCCATTTCTCCTTCCAAGCAAAGTGAAGAACTAGGTGCACTGCTCAAAGTTCTGCCCATTGGGAGGATTTCCCTTCACCACTGTCTTTCAGGAAGGTCCCAGAAAGGGGCTGTAGTGCTGCCTCTGTCCACATATCGCACAGAACCATCTGTAGACCTGGCACTAGTTTTCTCTTCCTTAGTCAACTGATCATAAGGAACTCACCATGAGCCCACAGGTGCAGACCGGGAGATGGAAGGTAACGTGACAGGAGTGCAGACCATGTGCATTTGGGCCACTTCCTCATGCAACTTACTTGTGCCTTCAGGTCCTGCCTGGGCCTAATCTCATATACACCACTTCCATTTAATGATGCAGTGCTGCTGTGCCCAGTTCATGATGGGCAGCTCAGGCTGCATGGCGACTTGGTAGCCCGTGGTTAAGCATTCAATCTCTACTAAGGCCCAGTAACAAGCCAAAAGCTGTTTCTCAAAAGGAGAGTAGTTGTCTGCAGAGGATGGCAGGGCTTTGCTCCAAAATTCTAAGGGTCTGCTCTTTGATTCACCAATAGGGACCTGCCAGAGACTGCAAATAGCCATCTCTGCCACTGACACTCCAAGCCCCACTGGATCAGCTGGATCATATGGCCCAAGTGTCAGACGGGCCTGCATGGGAGCCTAAACCTGTGCAGAGCTTTCTCAAAGCTGACAGCTTTTTGAGTCACTTGATAAATAGGTCAGAGTAGCACACCCAAATGAGAGATATCACTGCCTCCAAAATCCAAAGAGGCCCACCAGGTGTTGTGCCTCCTTTTTAGCTGTCTGAGGGGCCAAATGAAAGCCAGACCCTTCCTTTAGAAGGTGTATCCTGACAAGCCTGGCACCACTGGACCCCTAGAAATTTCACTGAGGTAGAAGGCACCTGAATTTTTGTCAGGTTAATTTCCTATCCTCTAGCAAAAAAGGTCTAACCAATAATTCCAGAGTCACTGATACTTCTTCCTTACTACATCCAATCAGCATAATGTCATCCATGTAATGGACCAGTATGGCATCTTGTGGAAGGGAAAGGCAATCAAGGTCCCTGCGGACTAAATTATGACATAGGGCTGGAGAGTTGATGTAGTCCTGAGGCAGGACACTGCTAGCCTTGCCAGCTGAGGAAAACTGCTTCTGGTGTTCATTTGAAACCGGAATTGATAAAAAGGCATTGCCAGATCGATAAGTGCATACCAGGTACGAGGAGATGTATTAATTTGCTCAAGCAGTGAAACCACATCTGGAACAGCAGCTGCAATTGTAGTCACCACCTGGTTAAGTTTTCGATAATCCACTGTCATTCTCCAAGATCCATCTGTTTTTTGCACAGGCCAAATAGGCGAGATGAAAGGGGATGTGGTAGGAATTACCACCACTGTATCCTTCAGTTCCTTGATGGAGGCAGTAATCTCTGTAATCCCACCAAGAATGCGGTATTGCTTTTGGTTTACTATTTTCCTAGGTAGGGGCAGTTCTAATGGCTTCCACTTGGCTTTTCCTACCATAATAGCCCTTACTCTATTTGTCAGGGATCCAGTGTACGGGTTCTGCCAGTTGCTGAGTATCTATTCCAATTATGCATTCTGGAACTGGAGAAATCACTACAGGATGGGTTCAGGGACCCACTGGACCCACTGTGAGATGTACATGAGCTAAGATTCCATTAATAACCTGAGCTCCATATGCCCCCACTCTGACTAGCAGGCCACAGTGACGTTTTGGGTCTTTTGCAATTAGTGTCAGTTGAGAGCCCACCAAACCCCTTGCCATCGAGTCAATTCCAACTCATAGCAACCTATAAGACAGAGAAGAACTTCCCCATAGGGTCTCCAAGAAGCAGCTGGTGGATTCAAATGGCCAACCTTTTGGTTAGCAGCCAAGTCCTTAAACCACTGTGCCACCAGGTCTCCAGTTAAGAGCCAGTGTCCAGTAATCCCTGAAAAGTCTATTTGCTTTTCCCCAATAAACAGTCACTCTCATAAAAGGCCACAGATCCCTTTGGGGAAAGCTGGGAGAAAGACTAACAGTATTTATTTTTGGAAGTGTAGTGGGGTCCTTCCTCAAGGGTATATTTTGCATATTTCTATTGCCATCCCTCACATCATGGATTAGCAGTGCCCTCTTTACTACTGGAAGCAGAGTCATCAACATCTTTAAGACTAACCAGACTTGAGAACCATTTTAGAAAATTCATCCTTACAATTTTGTTTCTCTAGAACCACTTCCAGTACCAAATGTCTTAGAGGCTGGGTTCTCTAGAGAAGTAAAACCAGTGAAGCATATGTATATCTACATAGAAAGAGAGATTTATCAAGATTTATCTCAAGTAAATGGCTCATGCCGTTGTAAAGGCTGGCAAGTCCCAAGTCTGGGGGTCAGGCATCAGGCTAGAGGCTTCTCCTAACTCACACAGCTGCAGGGACTGACAAACCCAAGATCAGCAGGTCAGATGGCAGACTGCTGGCTCACAGGCTGCAGAGGCTGAAAAATCCCAAGATCCACAGGTAAGCTGCTAGCTCAAGTCCCAAGAACCGGAGGTCGGATGATGACCAGCAGGATGTAGGATCCAGAGCAAGAGCCTTGCTGGAACATCCACTTATACTGGAGGCAGGCCACACCCCCCAAGGAAACTCCCTTTCAGCTGACTGGCTGCTAATAGCAGATCTCATCATGGTGCTGTTACATCATTACATAACTGTCAAACTACATCATAACTGCCAAACCACTGAGAATCACAGCCCAGCCAAGCTGACAACCTTAACCATCACACAAGTCAATCAAGAAACTAGAAAGCCTGGAAATTTCTAAGTTGTCAGTACATGGTCACATAAGCAATTTCCCTAGTTAGTGTTGATTTAGCCTCATCTTTAAAACAGGAATTGTAATAAAAATGGTCTTCGGATTCTTTCCATTATTTAATGTTGACAAAATGACAAGATTTTACGCTAATATTGAAAAATAATTCATTTAGATCCAGTCACAGGATTTTGCAAGCTAACATGTTCCCAGCTCCCTACCACATCCAGGTGTACCTAAAAGTTCCAGATTAGCTTTTCTTCCCAGTGTATCCTCACAAATTAGGAGCATCAACTATATGCCAGGCACTGAGCTAGGTGCTGGGAATCCAAATACTCCACAAGCACTAGCTTCAACTTCACAGCACACAATTGAGTTTAAGTGGAGAACAAGTCCTTGAGTGGCAAGAGAATATGGAAAGAAAGAAATGTGGCCAGTCTGGTTTTTCCCTCTCAACAGGAACAGCAGATTCCCTTAAGCCATGTAAGGCAAGGAATCTCTCGAGAAGGAGTCTCCACAACAATTACAGACTAGCAGGTAGCAACGGCAAGAGTTCCCAGGGCTTTGGTTTCCTGAAGTAAGGGTCCCCAATAAAAAATCAAACACCCATCACCATCCAGTTGATTCTGACTCATAGTGACCCTATAGGTCAGAGCAGAACTGCCCCATAGGGTTTCCAAGGAGCAGCTGGTGGATTTAAACTGCGAACCTTTTTTGTTAGCAGCCAAGCTCTTAACCACTGTGCCACCAGGGCTCCAGTATGTGATCCCAATTTTGCATTATAATATTATTTAGATAGATGTATAAACTAGAAGAGCACTTCCTTAACAGTGGTTATGAGTGGTCAGATTATAGGTAGTATTTCTTTTTTCCTTTGATTTTTCTGCTGGCTCCAATTTCTATGGAATGGGCATGATTACTTTTACTATTCAAAGGACAGTCTCCAATGCTCCTAAATCAGTGCCCTGACAAAACATATTCTACCTCCTTCACCATATCTCTCAACATAAATTCCAAATTTTAAAGCAACTAAAGAGCCAAGAAACTTGTCTTATTTGGATTCCCAGCACCTACTGCAGTGACTGGCATGTAGTTGGTGCTCAATAAATGTCTGCTGCTTGAATTCCCATTATTGCCTTAGAACCATCTGGGGATGGGAATGGCTTTCATCTCAGAAGATACATAAGCTTGGTGCTCCTACCCAGAGACAGCACTCTTGCAATGCCCCGAGGCACAAGGGGCCCCGGGGAAGACGGCTCAGCACAAACCTCCTGCTGTCTTTGGAAAGCTCACATCCTTCCCTAGAGGGACAATGGTACTTCACACACAGCCAGCACATACGCTTCCCATGTCTGTGTGTACAGACTCCCTGTCACTGGGACTTACCTTCTGAAGCTGTCACTGTGTCTGTGGCATTGGCTAGATCCAGAAGAATCGAGGGGAACGCTGGATGCAGGAGGTAAAGGTGATGAAGGCTGGGTGGCTCAGCTCCTAGGATGCTATCCTGTGATGAAGAGCAAAAAGGAAGAGCAAAGGTAACTCTACATTCCCAAACCTGATGCTTTTCAGATAAAAAAGGTAGAGAAGAAAGTGGTGATTACTGATTCCTCCCAGATGCTAAAACCTAACCCCTACTTCAAGGATTTGTTTGAGAGAAACTCCCATATACAAGAGACGTATTATTGCAAAGAGTTCAAAACACTGACTGAGCACTACTTCGAACCACTGTCTAAGCTAGAAAATATTTTCACTCATAAAAATAAAGGAAATGTGAGTGCCCCAAAAGAGAAATTTGTTGTAGAGACACCCCTCCACCACCCCTAGTCTTCTGCCTAAGGGAATAAGGAATAGTGGTTCATCTCTTGCGGGGCAGGGGGGCTGGGGAACTTGTAGAGACAAAAATCTTTTTTTCTTTTATTGTACTTTAGCTGAAGATTTACAGAACTAGCTTCTCATTAAACAGTTAGTACACATATTGTTTTATAACACTGGTTAACAACCCCACGACGTGTCAACACTCTCCTTTCTCGACCTTGGATTCCCTATTGCCCGCTTTCCTGTCCCCTCCTGCCTTCTAGTCGTTGCCCCTGGGCTGGTGTGCCCCTTTAGTCTCGTTTTATTTTATGGGCCTGTCTAATCTTTGGCTGAAGGGTGAACCTCGGTAGTGATTTCATTACTGAGCTGAAGAGGTGTCTGGGAGCCATACTCTCAGGGTTTCTCCAGTCTCTGTCAGGCCAGTAAGTCTGGTCTTTTTTGTGTGAGTTAGAATTTTCTTCTACATTTTTTTCCAGCTCTGTCCAGGACCCTCTATCGTGAATCCCGGTCACAGCAGTCAATGGTGGTAGCTGGGCACCATCTGGTTTTACTGGACTCAGTCTGGTGGAGGCTGTGGTAGTTGTGGTCCATTAGTCCTTAGGACTAATCTTTCCCTTGTATCTTGTTTTCTTCATTTTCTCTTGCTCCCGAAGGGGTGAGACCAGTGGAGTGTCTTAGATGGCTGGTCACAGGCTTTTAAGACCCCAGACACTACCCACCAAGGTGGAATGCAGAACATTTTCTTTATAAACTATGTTATGCCAGTTGAGCTAGAGGTTTCCCGAGACCACGGTCACCACAGCCCTCAGCCCAGCAATTCGGTCCCCCAGGGAGTTTGGATGTGTCTATGGAGCTTCCATGACCTTGCCTTGAACAAGTTGTGCTGGCTTCCCAGTATTGTGTACTGTCTTACCCTTCACCAAAGTTATCACTTATCTATTGTCTATTTAGTATTTTCATTCCCACCCCTCCCCTACCTCGTAACCATCAAAGATTGTTTCTTTCTGTGTGTAAACCTTTTCATCAGTTTTTACAGTAGTGGTCTCATGCAATATTTGTCCCTTTGTGATTGACTTATTTCACTCAGCATAATGTCCTCCAGGTTCATCCATGTTATGAGATGCTTCACAGATTCATCATTGTTCTTTATTGTTGTGTAATACTCCATTGTGTGTATGTACCATAGTTTGTTTATCCATTCATCTGTTGATGGGCATCTAGGTTGTTTCCATCTTTTTGCTAATGTGAACAATGCTGCCATGAACATGGGTGTGCATGTGTCTATTCATGTGATGGCTCTTATTTGTCTAGGATAGATTCCTAGGAGTGGGATTGCTGGATCATATGGTATTTCTATTTCTAGCTTTCTAAGGAAGCACCATATTGTTTTCCAAAATGGTTGTACCATTTCGCATTCCCACCAGCAGTGCATAAGAGTTCCAATCTCCCCACAGCCTCTCCAACATTTGTTATTTCCAGTTTTTTTTATTTGTGCCAGTAATGCCAGGGTGAGATGATATCTCATTGTGGTTCTGAATTTGCATTTCTCTAATGGCTAGTGATCGCGAGCATTTCCTCATGTGTCTGTTAGCTGCTTGAATGTCTTATTTGGTGAAGTATCTGTTCATTTCCTTTGTCGATTTTTTAATTGGATTATTTGTCTTTTTGTTGTAGAGGTGTTAGATTTTCCTGTAGATTTTAGAGATTAGAACTTTGTCGAATTTTTAATAAACAAAAATTTCTTCCCAGTCTGTAGGTTCTCTTTTTACTCTTTTGGTGAAGTCTTTTGATGAGCCTAAGTATTTAATTTTTAGAAGATCCCATTATCAAGCTTATCTTCTGCAGTTTGTGTATTGTTGGTTATGGTTTGTATCCTGTTAACGCCGTGTATTAGGGCCTCTAACGTTGATCTTATTTCTTCTTCTATGAACTTCATAGTTTTTGGCTTTATATTTAGGTCTTTCATCCACTTTGAATTAGTTTTTGTGTATAGTGTGAGGTATGGGTCCTGTTTCATTTTTTTGCAGATGGACATCCAGTTTTGCCTGCATCATTTGTTAAAAAGACTGTCTTTTCCCCTTCTGATGGACTTTGGGCCCTTGTTGAAGATCAGGTGACTGTAGGTGTATGGATTTACATCTGAGTTCTCAATTCTGTTCCATTGGTCAATGTATCTGTCGTTGTACCAGTACCAGGCTGTTCTGACTACCGTAGCTGTACAGTAGGTTCTGAGGTCAGGTAGGGCTAGTCCTCCTACTTAATTCTTCCACTTCAACAGTGCTTTACTTATCCGGGGCTTCTTCCCGTTCCATATAAAGTTAATGATTAGCTTTTCTATCTCTTTAAAGAATGTTGTTGGTATGTGGATCAGGATTGCACTGTGTTTGTAAATCGCTTTGGGAAGAATTGTCATTTTCACAATGTTGAATCTACCTATCCATGAGCATGGTATGTTTTTCCATTTATGTAGCTCTCTTTTGGTTTCTTGCAGTAGTGTTTTGTAGTTTTATTTGTGTAGGTCTTTTACATTCCTGGTTAGATTTATTCCTAAGTATTTTATTTTTCTAAGGACTTTATAAATGGTATTGTTTTCCTGATTTCCTTTTCATCGTTCTCTTTATTGGTGTATAGGAATCCAACTGATTTTGGTAAGTTTATCTTGTATCCTGCTACTCTGCTGAATCTTTCTATTATTTCCAGTAGTTTTCTCGTGGAGTCTTCTGAGTTTTCTACATATAGTATCATATCATCCGCAAATAGGGACAGTTTAACTTCTTCATTACCAATTTGAATGCCCTTTATTTCTTTTTCTTGCCTTATTGCTCTAGCTAGGACTTCCAGCACAATGTTAAATGGGAGTGGAGATAAAGGGCATCCTTGTCTTGTTCCTGTTCTCAAGGGGAATGTTTTCAGCCTCTCTGCATTAAGAATGATGTTGGTCATTGGTTTGCATGGATGCCCTTTATTATGTTGAGAAATTACCCTTCTATACCTATTTTATTGAGAGTTTTTATTAGGAATGCATGCTGGACTTTGTCGAATGCCTTTTCTCCATTGATTAAGATGATCATGTGATTCTTTTCTTTCCTTTTATTTATGTGGTGGATTACCTTGATTGATTTTCTAATGTTGAACCATCCTTGCATACCTGGTATGAATCCTACTTGGTCGTGGTGTATTATTTTTTTGATATGATGCTGAATTCTATTGGCTAGAATTTTGTTGAGAATTTTTGCATCTATATTCATGAGAGATATTGGTCTGTAATCTTCTTTTTTTGTGGTGTCTTTGCCTAGTTTTGGTATCACGGTTATGCTGGCTTCATAGAATGAATTCAGAAGTGTTGCTTCCTTTTCTGTGTTCTGAAATAGTTTGAGTAGTACTGGTGTAAGCTCTTCTCTGAATGTTTGGTAGAATTCTCCAGTGAAGCCGTCTGGGCCAGGGCTTTTTTTTTGTTGGAAGTTTTTTTTTATTACCTTTTCAATTTCTTCTTTCGTTATGGGTCTGTTCAGATTTTCAACATCATTTTGTGTTAGTTTGGGTAGGTAGTGTGTTTCTAGAAATTTGTCCATTTCTTCTAGGTTTTCAAATTTGTTGGAGTATAGTTTTCATAATACTCTGTTATGATCCTTTTTATTTCAGTTGGGTCTGTTGCAATGACCCTCATTTCATTTCTTATTTGGGTTATATGCATCCTCTCCTGTTTTTTGTTGTTTTTTTTTTTTTTTGTCAGTCTGGCCAGTGGTTTGTTGGTTTTGTTGATTCTTTCAAAGAACTAACTTTTGGTTTTGTTGATTCTTTCTGTTGTTCTTCTATTCTCTATTTCATTTATTTCTGCTCTGATCTTTATTATTTCCTTTCTTCTGGTGGCTGTGGGCTTTTTTTGCTGTTCTCTATTTGTTCTAGTTGTGAAGCTAATGTTGTGATTTTGTCCCTTTCTTCTTTTTTGATGTGTGCATCTGTTGTTAAAAATTGATCTCTGAGGACTGCCTTTGCTGTGTCCCAAAGGTTTTGGTATGATGTGTTTTCATTTTTGTTTGATTCTAGCAGTTTTTTTGACCCCATCTCTGATTTCTTCTATTACCCAGTGGTTTTTAAGTACGGTGTTATTCAGTTTCCATGTAATTGATTTTTTTTCCTTGCTCTTCCTTGTTGTTAATTTCTACTTTGATGGCATTGTGGTCAGAGAAGATACTTTATATTATCTCAATGTTTTGGATTTTGTTGAGGGTTGCTCTGTGGCCTAAGATGTGGTCTATTCTGGAGAATGTTCCATGTGCGTTGGAAAAGAATGCGTAGTTTGCAGCTGTTGGGTGAAGTGTTCTATATATGTCTATGAGGTCAAGCTGGCTGATTGTGCCCTTTAGCTCTTCTGCATTTTTGCTGAGTTTCTTTCTAGATGTTCTGTCCTTTACTGAGAGTGCTGTGTTGAAGTCTCCTACTATTATTGTGGAACTGTCAATTTCTCTTTTCAGTGCTGTTAGAGTTTGTTTTACATATTTTGGAGCCCTGTCATTGGGTGTGTAGATGTTTATTATGGTTATGTCTTCATCATGGATCGTCCCTTTAATCATTATATAGTGCCCTTCTTTGTCTTTTATGGTAGATTTTGTTTTAAAGTCTATTTTGTCTGAGATTAGTATTGCCACTCCTGCTTTTTTTTGGTAGCTGTTTGCTTGATATATTTTTTTTCCATACTTTGATTTTTAAAAAATTTACATCTTTGTTTCTAAGGTGTGTCTCTTGTAGACAGCATATTGATGGATCTTGTTTTTTTATCCAAAAAATCTATTTTTGAAAACATAGTGAGCCAAAGACACTTCCTTCCATTAGGCCTCAGAGCCAACTGCAGGCATCAGGCTAAAAATTAAAGAAATCTTAGTAGTTCCTGAAATATACAGAACTTTGACCAAGCAGAAGCAAATCATCAATTATAAAGCAAAAACTCGAAGACTTGAGTGTTCTTCTCCAACCTCCCTGCAGCAAAAGAAATGCACGTGTGGACAACCTTTATTGATAGGACTTCCATGCAGGGAGGCTATGTGGCAGGTACACATGTGTACAGCCGCATAGCTGTTAAAGCTCTAAAATACTGCTATACCAGTTAGTGGATGGCTGCTCTCCTAAGCTCCTCAAGTGTCTCCCCTCCTCTAGGACCATCTTGGGTCTTTACTAGTAGAGGAAACGGAATCCCTGAGGGCTGAGTATCACCACTGCTTCCATACTCTTAGCATGGGAAGAAAAAGAAGTCTGCTAAGTGAGGAAAAACATAGGCAGGAAGCTTGTAACCTCACTCCTACCACATGCCCACAAAGCAGAAGAGGGGAGTTATGCACACAACTTTAGGATCCCAAATATGAGGGGACAGATCTCTGGCTCAGACAGCATGATAAGGAAATAGCCAAACTCCTTCCTCATTGCCTATAGAATGGGGTCCAAGTTCCTTAGCATGAAAATCAAGGTCTTACACCACTTAACCAAAATCTGCCTTTTCCAGTCTTCTATATTTACTCACCCACTCAATGCTTCAATCTGCTCTATCTAACTTTTGCCAATCTTATTATTTCCCCTGTAGACAGTCTAGCCATCCTCTATACCCCATTTCCACACATGAAAACACTTCCTGTCCTTAGGTAACAACTTGAATGTCACATTTTATGAAGGGCCCCCTAATAATTCAAGGCAAAATTAATCTCTCTCTCCTTTTTTCCTTCCATGTAAACTTATTTGTACCTCTATTACAGCATTTGTCACATGCCTTTTTTTTATAGAAGTTTATATTTGAGAGTCATCTAGTCCCATCCCTTCATTTTAGTATATGAGAAAACCAGGAAGTTAAAATGTTAGGTAAATTGCCCGTGGTCACACTGTTAGGGCATGTCAGAGTTGGGACTATAATCTAAATTTTAAATAAGTCTGATCCTCAAAATGAGGGAATATCTTCATGTTTTCACATAATGGATAAAGAACATGAGGCTCAGAAAAGTTAAATAATTTGTCCAAAAGCACATGACTGATAATTTCGGGACTTTTCCTGCATCATGCTTCCTCCATCATCTGTGTATCAACTGTCTTTTCTAGAGGACCACGACTTTTTCCAGCTTATCCTTAAGTCCCTACAGAGAACACAATGCCTGGCACATAGTAGGTGCTGAGGCAGTATTTTTTAAATTTAATTAAATCAGGGTAGGTATTACTAAAAACTCCCTGGCACCTATAAAAGGTGGCACCTTGCCTCGTCAACTTCATTAAAATACTTCAGTATAGCATTTAAGACTTTCTAAAATCTGCTTCATTCTGTGTTTCAGATCTTCTCTCCCATCATTTCCCCAGTTGAACTCTCCACTTTAGCCTATTCAGTGTCCCTCCCCAACTGCTCTGCCCATCCCCAAACTCATTTCTGCAGTCTCGGTTAATGTACCTCAAAGCTCAGCCTTACCCCTCCTAAGAAACTTTCCCTGCCCAATATGGACCAGCCATAATTATTTCCTCTCTTCAACAACTGTAAATATGGACCTAGTATCTTGAGAGGACTTTTGATTCTTTATTAAGCCTCCCACTGTGGGTAGCCAGTAGTTAGGGCCTGTTGTTAGCTTTCCTGTGGCTTGGCTGAAATGCAAAGGTCTGTAGGCATAGCTCAGGAGGAGCATGATATCTGCTTTTCCCATGCAAGTGCTGTTTTGCTTCTACCCATAACCACTTGAAAGCATGGCTAGTCAAATAACATCCCCAAGCCCAGATCAGGCTGCAGAGTGGCTGTCATCTGACAAAATGAGAAAGGGCCCTTCCCAGGCTCACTCACAGCCTTGGGAGGTGCAGTTGACAGCCCTTCAGCCCAAAAGAGGAAGACAGACTTCTGGTCTGAAGTGACTGCCGAGGTGGTTGGTGTTTCTTTCATGCGACATGGAATGCTGTAGCTCCAAGTAACAGAGCCAGAGTAACCATCCACCACCATCATCTGCAAAAGAGAAGACAAAGAGAGTGGGCATAGTCAGTCCTTAGAAAAGTAGCAGGCCAAGAACACAAGCACGCAACAAAACAAAACAAAACAGAGACAAACACGCACAGATATTAAAATAACGTATAGATTAACAGGCTGAACGTCTTAGATGTAAGCCAACTGGGTGCTCAGAGATCATTACATAATGGCTAGGGACCAGGAGCAAACTTCTGCAGCTCTTTTTCCCATTTAATAGAATTTAAAGAACTGTAGAATTCTACAGTGGGAAGGGGCCATGGGAAATCATCTAGTCCACCTCTCATTTCACAGACAAGAAAATGGAGGCTCAGACTCTGCTTACAAAAGGCCTTGGGTTCAACGTGGCAGAGACAAACTCTTCTGAAAGAGCAGAGAGGGAAAACCAGACCAGCAATTCAAGATTCCCTCTAGCAGTCTTGGGGAGCCTGAAGCCTAGTAATACCACATGAAAAAATTATATCCTGTCATACACATACATTATTTCATTTAACTGTCACAACAGCCTTATGAAGACAGGCAATATTATTACCCATCTTTTATAGATGCCAAAACTGAGGCTTGGAGAGATTAAGTAATTTGCTCAAGGACACCAGTGAGTAGTAGAGCCAGGATTACAACCCAGGTCTGAAACCCTAGCATCTCAGTTCTTAATCTTAACCGATCTATATACCCTCTCATTTAATCCTCCTAGGAATGCCAATGAAAATTATTCACTCTGCTTGGAAATGCCACACGATTTCTGTCTCTGGGTCTCCAGTCCTGGTGTTCCTTGCCTGGTATGCCTTTCCTTCCACCGCTTCCTCCTATAAATACAACTCATCTTTAAAGGTTCTGCTCGCATTTCCCACCTTTATAAAGTCTTCCACAATGACTAGAGCTACCACAGATATTCTGTCTTCTCTGAAATACTAGGCAATATATGTGCCTGAAGTATTTCATTTATTTATACCTGCCTTTCTCCACCAAGAGATTTTAGAAGGCCTAACTGTAAGTTACTGATCTCAAAAAAGGAACTCCTGCCTAAGGAGGTTAGCCTAGAAAAGCTTCCAACAGAGTATTATTTAGCACTGCATTGTGCTTTCATTTTTCTTATAAGTTTTCATTTTACCCATCCAGCTAGACATTGCGTTCTCTGAAGGAAAGGATCATGTTTTAGGTACTTTTTATTCCTCCGAATGCCTGGTGAAGGGCTGGATACAAAGTGTTCACTTTACATATGCTCTGATTGACTTGAGCCCCAAAGTTTTACCTTTTTCATCCCAACTCCATCCTGAATTTGCAGAAAGAAGTCTAAGGTCTGATCATCAGTAAAATACCCAGGAGTAGGCTGGCTGCAAATGAAGACAAAGTAAGCAATCAATAAGAAAATTAAAAACAAGGAACTCTTCCCCCTCCTTCTCCTGTATCAGCCCCAGATACCAAACAATTGTTCTAAAGAGTTTTGAAACATGGGAAGTAGAACAGACAGCAGACATGAGAAGGAGCACACTGCCAACCTGCGCAGGCCTTGAAGGCTCAACGTCCAGTAAGGTGTAAGATCTTGCCCTCGAAGCAGGACAAGGCCTCGTCTGGTTGTAATCAGGAGGTCGCTGCAGTTGGAATCTGGTGCCTTCACCATCTGGAGTAGCTCAACGCCATCACTGAATCAAACAAGACCCCAACAGTTAGTCTCTGACTTGGATGGGATTCTGATCTATTTATTTTGGCTTTTTCTGTCAGCGTGCATATGTTTGTATACATTCTTGTATGTATTTCCCATCATTATCTTATCAAGTGGGGGAATTCTGTCCTTTCAGTTGAACCTCACTTTTGCAACTCTTAGAAACCAAGGATCCCTAGCTAATCTCATGCAAGTTCAAAAGGAACAGCAGGAGAAGTGCTATGGTGCCACAGTTCTCCCGCTGGATACTCTGGGAAAAATAACAGAGCCAAGGATAAAGCAGGGGAGGCAGATGGAGATCTAAGCCACAAGCACAACACAGAAGGCTGGAAACGATCATTAAGCTTGGACAGCCACTTGTGGTTACACTTCATCAAATTATTTCTTTCTCTGTACAACTAGGATCATTCTATTCAATAGCTGTCAAATTCACAGAAACATGATATTGCTAAGAAAATGCTAGAAAATGACTTGAAACTTCTGGTAGAAAAGAACAGACAATTATTGCCTAGGCCTGGGTTTAAATGGATAAAGTCTACTGTATATAACAAAGTACATGGTTTTAGCTAAGAAATAAATAAGAATGAAAAATAAGATTCATGGTTGCTACCCTTACTTCTGCCAAAATGATGCCTTAACTAAGGGAAAAATACAAGAAAAGATTAGGGCAGACACTTCAGCACAGCTTTACAAACAGCTAAATAAATCTATCTCAAGGTTTCCCAGCCACATTCTCCCCCATTCACTTGGAAGCCTAAAAAAAAATCCCTCCTTTGCAACCTTTCTGTGAAGTGATCACACAGCGTGGTCACCACACGTAAATATCAACACATTATGCTACCAAGAGAAGAAAACTTCTCACTCACGTTAACCAGCCCAGAAGATGGTATGTAAGGCTGGCACTGCTTTCCCCTCAAACCTCTGCCCACATATTCACCAGCCCAACCAAACTTAGAGACTCCACGATCTCACTGCAACTAAGGACAGACGTCTGCCCTACCTGTAAATGTCAATGAGCTCAGACAGGTTGATGGATCTTCGCTTCTCCCATTCTGGCTCTTCAAGCTGCAGAGAAGGTGGTGAGCTGTCTCGATTTTGGGCCTGAACAAAAATGTCCCGCAGGGCAACAGCCTGGATATTGCCTAGCACCACAACAAAAACCAAGACTGAGAAGGTGAACTTAATAGAACCATCCCACGGTGAGGATCTGAGCAGGAAACGTGTGCCTGATCAGTTGGGTCTGACAGAGTCCACTCGGACGGGTCCAACATGGAATGAGTGGGGAAGTGGTTACCAGATGCTGAACAAAGATTCTTCTCCTTGGAGAAGGGATCAAGGGAAAGCAGAGTTAATAATCTGCAATAGGTGGGGAGAATGAGAAGCCCCTGCAATAGGAGATGACGAAAGGACTGGTGTCAGCAGTTCCTGAGCTTTCACCCTGTCTCACAAGGGAGACCTAGCAGACACACCAGTGAAGAGCAGTAGCAAAAACTAGCCTTGCTTCTTACCAAAGCCAAACAGGATGTAGACAGCCCCATTTGTGGTGATGTAAACCTGAGGACCAATCAGATTCCCCACTCCCACGATGTTGTACTTCACAGGTCGGCCCACTGGACTCCCTGTCCGGCCAGACACCAGCAGAAAGCACAGATCTGGCTGAAGAAGTGAAAGAAGGAGGTCAAGTCAATAGAAGCCCTATCATTTCCTGATCAAACAGCTTCTCCAGATAGTCCCTGCCACCTCATCACAGCAAAGGGCTCAGAAATACTCCCCAGACTGGAATAACACAAAGCCAAAGCTGCCTCTCTGTATCTCCCAGGAAGACAGACAGGGAGGTCAATGTCCCATTCTCTTATTAGATAACGTGCTGAGGACAACTTTATGGTAGCTCAGGTACTTTCTCTGAAGCACAACTGTTGCTGACTGAACAGTGTCCTGAAGTACAAAATTCTAATCTAATCTAGCTAAAGAGGGCTAGCTGATCCCCAGGTCCATAATCCTATGCTCAGAAACATCCAGTAATATTTGGTCCCAACTAGAATAAATCTAGGCAGTGCTCTCCCGTAATATTAGCTGTCTGGTCCAGCCACTATGAATCTTATCTCAAGCAGGGGTTGGCAAACTTTTTCTGTGAGGGGTGAGATGAAAACATTTTAGGCTCTGCCAGAACTAGTCTGCCACTGTACCATGAAAGCAGCCATAGACAATACACACATGAATGGACATGGCTGTGTTCCAATAAAACTTTATTTACAAAAACAAGCAGTGGGCTGGATTTGGCCTGCAGGCCATAGTTTGCTGATACCTGCTCTACAGGATTTTCTTTTGGACATAGAGTCACCAAAAAAAAAAACAAAACCTGTTGCCATCGAGTCAATTCCAACTCAGAGGGACCCTGCAGAACAGAGCAGAACTGCCCCATTGGGTTTCCAAGGCTGTAATCTTTATGGAAGCAGAACGCTGTATCTTTCTCCCTCAGAGTGGCTGATGGGTTTGAACACTGACCTTTTGGTTAGCAGCCGAGTGCTTTAACCACTGCACCACCAGGGCTCCTACAGAGTCACTAGTTGGGAAATATACGGATTGTATCGATATCTTGACTTCAGTGAAGCTTTTGACAAAGTTTATCATGATTTTTCTTATGGACAAGATATAAAAATGTGGTTTGTGATATACCCAGAGATACATGCTTACAGAGTCAATGCCAACCCAGAGAAAGGTTTTTAGTGGAATGTCATAGCACTCTCCTATTGCCCCAATCCTATAAAATATTTTTATCAATGGCGCAGATGACTAGAATTCAAGCTTATCACAAAACTGAGAGGGATAATTAAGATGCTGTATGATAAACTCAAAAGACAAAAAGGCCTTAGGCTGGAAGATGGGTCAAAATTCACAACATAAAATTTAACAGAAAAATATAAAGTCCTTCCATTTACATTTAAAATACCTTGGACCTCAGAATAGGGACCATTTATGTAAAAAAAACAAAAAGATGTTGGCAGCTTAACTGATCATAAACAAAAAGTGAATCTAGAAAGGCTACTGCAATCTTCAGCTGCATAAACAGAAATACAGAATCTATACCAAAAGAGGCAGTAATTTCATTATTGTTGATATAACTGGTTATCCTGCAAACAGAACACCGTTTTCAGATCTGGGTGCCACAATTTAAGTGAAAGGAAGACAAAGTGAAGTGCAAAGTAAAAAAAAAAACACAAACAAGACAGAGAGGAGTATGAACCTCATGTTGCATGACGAACAGTGTAAGAAATAGGGGGTATTTAACCTTGAGAGTAGCAGGCTTAGAGGACAGGCAATGGCTACAGGGGATTCTTGTAGAAAAGGGACTGGACTCATCATGTAGCCCCACGGGACTAAAGCCAGAACAATGAACGGAAGCTACAAGGAAGCAGATTTCTCGTCAACATGAGAGTTTCTAGAGTTGTCCAAAAATGAAATGGACTATCTCACAAATTAGTGATATTCCCCTCAGCCTGAGTGCTCAAGGAGAGTATAGGTGTCAATGTGTCTGGAATGCTGTATCAGAGATTACAGCATGGTGTGCCAGGTTTAACCACACGGCTGTTAAAGTCCCTTCCCACTAATGTTCTAAACCAGCTCAGTTCTTGCAATCCCACCCACTCTAAACCCAGCTCTAAGAATGCAATCAGTCCAAGTCACAGACCTAACATGTTTCCTTGGAAAGAGAGGAACTTCCACACTGTAACTTAAACAGGTTCCTCAGGTTCTTTGTTGCTGGTATAGAGGTCAAAAAAGGTCAGCATAAAGATGAAGCTACTGCTCTAAACCCATCACCTCTCCAAGATTTTTCTAGTACTATCACTTTTCAGGCAGAATGGAGACTATTCCATATCTGGATACTACTAAGTCTGAAAGACAAGCTGGGCAATACACTGGGTAGGGACAAAAAAAAAAAAAAAACACACAGAGAAGGAGTGGACAAAAAGCCAATTTTCTAACCGAGTCCTCCTTATTATGGAGGATCCCCAAAGGCCTGAACTGCTATCCTGTCAACCCTCCTGGCTACTAAGAAGCCAGTTGGGGCATTAATACCAAGATTTTTAAACTTGTTCAGGATATACAAAATTTTTCAATTCCTCACTTTGCCTCTGCTGACCATAATTCCATTAAGAAGAACTCCCCATACTTTTCCTTTTGGGACCTTCAGAGACTCACTCGCTGCTGGAGGTCATAAGCGAAATCCTGCCACCACCACCACTCCCTCACCCCCATCTCTTTATTCACAGTGGCTGGGAAAAAATGATTATATGAGTAACTCCTGAAGTTTTGGTTCAGGTTCACTGAGACCAACTGACTAGTTGAAGAAAACGAACAGAAAGTACCCTTAAAACTGAGCAGGCTTCAGAAATTGAGCTCATTACCTTTTTTCTTCTCACCTTACAGCAGAAACCTAAGGTATTCCCTAGTGGAAGGCTTTGAATTTATGGTACTCTTGGCAGAAAACCATAACATAGCAACAGATTTAATTATATTCTAAATACTTTACTTGCAGAATTTATAACTCTACTCCATATATGGAATACAAAAATCACAACAGCAAACACGGGGTCTATTAAAATTAAAATAAGCTATCACATAAGACAGAATTATCTGCATCCACATTTTTCCATGAATATTCTTTGCCATTTGTTTGATTCTTTTATCCACAAGCATTTCCTGGCCAACTAGCATGAGGAAGGTCTGAGAAAAAGTCTTAGAAAAGCTTTGACAAAAGCTCTGAGAAAAGCTTATTGAATAAAAAATTAAAATTAAAATAATTCTGTTCATTAATTTATTCTTTCCTGTGATTTGGGAGAAAGACTACTATTATCTGTGCGCAGAATAACTTATTCCAGTACGCTGGAAACAAAGTTTGTATTGTCACAGCATGTATTACAGCTCTCCTTTCTTTGGTCATTGTTGTTATTACTTATTTGACTTAGATTTTTTTCTATAAATATTTTATGAACTGTCTATAAGTCTACCCTTATATAAAGTTTATTTTATGGTTGAAATAGGATTTAAATATCTATAATATAATAAAATGAACAATACATTTACATAGTAAAAAAATAGGTACTATTCTAAGCACTTTAAATATGTTAGCTCTAATTTTCATAACAATCCTGCAAGTAGATACTAACATTCCCATTTTACATACAAAGAAAGCAGAACTGGATAAGTTACATGGCTTGCTAAGTCCTCAAAGCTACAAAGTGGCAGAGACAAAGTTCAAACACAGACCTATCTGGTTCCAAAGCTAATGGGTACCACAGTTAATGGAAACATAATGTGACTGCCAGGAGAAATGGCTCATCACGATAATTTCTTCACTGAATCTTACAAAGAGAATTTATTTAAAACTAAGCCCTAGTAAAAAGAAAGTTTCAAGCAGCATTTATAATAGTAACACTGGGAACTGAGATAACTAAAATTGAAACATTCCCTAAGAAGCAAAAATCAGTTAGTGAAGATCATACCTGCAATTCCCCAATGGCCAGAACCACAAGATCTCTAATGCCATCTTCATCCAGGTCTGGAAGCACCACGACTGGGGCAGCCAAGGTACCATTGGACAAAAACTTTGGGTTTAAAGTCCAAATGGCTTTCCCTAGGGAAGGACAAACAGGCTGATCACAGTTACCACTCTCTGGCTCTGGAAAGGGCAGATGCAACATTCTCAGCCCAAGAAAGAGAAACTCAATGGGCTGAACAACAGACAGTACCTCCTACTTACTTTTTTCCTTTAATTTTATCTTACTGGAGAAGAAGGGAGCAGGGGCATGTCACGGATTTAACTGTGTCTCCCAAAAATATGTGTTAACTTGGCTTGGCCATGATTCCCAGTATTGTGTGGTTGCCCTCCATTTTGTGATCTAATTATCCTCCATTTTGTGATGTGTTGTAAATCCTAATCTCTATATGTTAATGAGGTAGGATCAGTGTGGGGCAGATTTTGAGTCACAGCCTTACAAGAGGGTGCAACTCAAGACATACCTTTACTTAGGTCACACACTGAAGTCACATCTTTTATCTTACAAGAGATAAAAGGAGAGAGAAGCAGGTAGAGAGTGGAAGGACCTCACTATCACCAAGAAAGAAGAGCCAGGAGCAGAGTGCATCCTTTGGACCCAGGGTCCCTGTGCTTAGAACCTCCTAGACCTAGGGGAAGACTGATGCCAAGACACATGGAGATCTCCAAGGAAGATGTTGAAAGGAGACAAGGACCTTCCCCGAGAGTCGACAGAGAGAGAAAGCCTTCCCCTAGAGCTGGTGCCCTGAATTCAGACTTCTAGCCTCCTAAACTGTGAGAGAATAAATTTCGCTTTGTTCAAGCCATCCACTTGTGGTATTTCTGTTATAGCAGCACTAGATAACTAAGACAGGGTGTGAGCTAAAATCTTCACATCTAGATTTTTTGTTTAGATAAGATAAAGGTGCTAAAGTCTCTCAAAGAAAGAATAGCTAATTTGCCTAAGTCAGGGGAATTGATCTGTTAGAGATTATTACAACTACTAAGGAACCAATCAAGGGCAGCCAACCAGAAGACCAATTCTCAGTCCTTCTACCATACGTTTACATAAGTAAGCATCAGAGAAGCCACAAGAACTTTTCAAGATGACTTCAGTTCTAGAGTTAACTCACATTCAAAATTTTTTCACTCAGAAGCATCCCACTACTGAAGTCCTACTTCAAAAACTAGGAAGTTATTATTTATTCAGCTTCCCTGGAGCCCGTGGTCCAAGGTGCTAACTGGTTTTTTTAACAAGCATGTTGGCAGTATACTTATGATTCTCTAAGAAGCCTTCATTATATTTAATCCTTTTGCATTCCTTTTGGCATGTATGTCTGAAGGTAGCAAGAAGATACAAAGCCAAATCAGCATGCCTCGACAAACCTTGGTTTCTTCACTGACATATTTTTTACGTAGTTATGTCCAAGTTACCTGTGGACTCCACCTACACAAGTCTGAAGACAAAGCTCAGCTGTCTTTGTAGAAAGAACATCTGGGAGATTATAAGCCAAAGGCCGCAGGGTAGTTTCTGTTTGGATAACTCAGCTGAGCCCCATCCCATCTCCAAATAGGCTGAATCGCAGATCTATTTACTCAATCTATCAAAACCCTTTCTCCTATTTCCATTATCTACCTTCCGAAGGTAAATCAGACTTTCTACCATGCAAGGGTGGAGAAGGCCCTTCCTCACTGGATGAATCTAATCTAAGATTATAGCTCACTGGAACAGAGATCTTTCCTGGCAAATGATCTTTACCTGATGTTGCATTGAATGCGTTGAGCATCTTATGGGTCCCTGTCACAAGGCAGATGGTTGCAGCCAAGCTTCCTGGCATCAGATCCAAACATGTAATATCCCGGGCCTCCTCTGGGAGGGGACTGGACCAGAGTGTGCTGCCATTCATCCCCGACAGGCACATAAGAACAGCCGTTGGCCTGGAGACACCTAAGGGCACAGAGGAGAGACAAGAAAGCAAAGAAGGCAGAGAAAAAAAGAGGTAGAGAGGACAGGAGGCCAGAAAACCAAAAACAAATGGTGCTAAGGCAGTCACCCTTCCGTACTTCTGACCACAAGGTCTGAAAAGAGTGCCCATCAGATCTGCTCAACACGTCTCAGGTAAGGCAAGATGCTGCGGACCGTCTTCATGCTGCCTGGTATACACCGCTGCTGTGCACAACACATTTGTTTATATGTCTGTCACCTCGGCCCCACTAAATAGTGATATCCTTGAGGATAAAGACTGTCTCATTAATTACTATATCCTCAATACCTTGCAAAGTGCCTGGCACATAACAACCAATTGCTTGCTGAATAAAAGACAAGAGCAAAATAAAGAATATGGAAAAGTAGTTGTTGGAAACAAAAAAATCAGGAGGGAAAAGTATACTCAGAAAAAGTGAGACTGCTCTAGAATATGTGTAGAACAAGGAGCAAAACACCAGAATTCTAATCATTCCTAGTAAATGCTCCCTGAGAGCAGGAATTAAAAAAGAATTGAAATAAACCTGAAGATTACATGTAGCAAAGATCAGCAGATCCTCCTAGTCTAGAGTTCATGCAATCAGTTGATATGGTCCCAGTTAGGAAAGAATACTTGGGTAAACTTAATACCTAGGCCCAAGCATAGCTAGTTAATGACTAGAGTAACTCACCTACTTAACAAATAATCCTTTATGTCACTTAGACTATCAGAAGAATAACTTTCTCTTTCCAGTTTTACATTCACTTTCATATAGGGATACTGGCCCATCTCACACACTTTCCACTTCTGTCAACAACTAATACAGACAAACAAATGTTACGTTGTAACACTCCATGCTACCTGTTCCTCAGTATTACTAATTAAATATACAAGCTAAAAACAAGTGACAAACTGTGGCTCACTGTTTGAGACCTTGTTGCCAAGCATTGATAAACTGTAGTAATAAATGTTAACTTCCAGATTTTCCAAGGATGCTGTGAGAAATATACTGTGCTGTTCTTCCTACTTGAGGACCCTACTGACTCCACATCACTTCTCTGAATAATTTTTTCAGGGTGGTGACAGGATATCCCTTCCCCACTACACTGCGACTCCCAGAGACAGGGACCACGCTCATCTCGTTTAGCTCTATGTAACTAGCACGTAGTACAGTGCCTGCCACACAGTGGGCATTCAGTACATAGTTGTTGAATAAATTGATGGACAAATCACAAACAAAACCCTCCATCTCTCTCATGCTCTGAGGCACAGATCTGTGAACCTGCTGGCTGGGGTTATGCGCATATCAGTTTGGCGTAAGGGTTAAGAACAGGAATTTCAGAGTCAGGCTCTCTGGGTTTACATCCTAGCTCTACATTTACCAGTTGTGAGACTTTGGGCACGTTCCTTCACCTCTTCGTGTCTCAGTTTTCTCATCTGTGAAAGGGGAATAATATTAGTCTACCTCACAGGATTCTGCTGAGGGACAAATTTGTTCATATATGTTATGTACTTACAACAGTGCATAACACATAGGAAGAATTATATGTTATCAGGAAGGATCAGTCCCTGGAGAAGGACATCATGCTTGGTAAACTAGAGGGTCAGAGAAAAAGAGGAAGACACTCAATGAGATGGACTGACACAGTGGCTGCAACAATGGGCTCAAGCATAGCATTGTGAGGATGGCGCAGGACCGGGCAGTGTTTCTTTCTGTTGTACGTAGGGTCACTATGAGTGAGAACCGACTCGAAGGCACCTAACAACGAGAACAACATATTATTATTTTAAAATCTGTGGCCAAATCAGCTGGTCCATATTGTGTCCAAACCTATGTCTCTGCCATTATGAGTCCCGTGACATACGAAAATGACTAAAAACATCTCTAAATGGAAAAGGAAATGAGGGAAACTTTTATTTCAAAGGCTAATGAGTTACAGGCAGGAAAAAATGGAATCAGGGTTCAACCATATAAAAATCAATTTCCAGATCTGTCACAGACTGCTTCTACATATCACATAAGCCTGATCATTTCTAATAGCATTAGAGAGGCACACAATTTAGAATTCTCTAGAACACACCCAGCTGTTAGTCCTGGGGCCTGAAGGATGAAAAGGTAGTTACTAGAGCATCCTTAGGAGCCAGGGTGGCAGAAGTGGTTTGCAATCAGCTGCTAAACTGAAGGTTGACATTGGAACTCACCCAGCAGCTCCGCAGAAGAACGGCCTGGCAAACGGCTTCCGTAAAAATTACAGCCAAGAAGACCCTACGGAGCAGTTCTACTCTGTAAACATGGGGTCGCCGTGAGTTAGGGGCCCACCTGACAGCAGCTAACAACAACAGGGCATCTTTAGGGTTCCTGTATCAGTTTTCAGACGGCAGTTCTAATCGACTTTAATGGCAGCTACAGGATAAACCAAAAGCCCCTGTGCACCTATGCTGAAAATGGAACCCTTTTTGTGTGTGTGTGTGTGTGCAGTTGACATGTATTACAGTCAGGTTCCAGGAGACGGCACACTCAACTAGAATAAGCTGTGGAAGGGTTTAACAAAGAGACTATTTACAAAGATGTGGGCAGGGTACAGGGAAACCACAAAAGATAGTACAGTCCCTCAGAACTGTTGCCACTCTTTGGTCCAAAGAGACGAGGGGAGGAAGCAATTACAGGAATCCAAGAAAAGAAAGTCATGTGAGAGGACCACCTAAGAGGAGCTGTGGGCTGTGGTCAGGGCTGTAGCCATCCCGAGGTGACCCTTCTCCTCACTCTCTTCCCTCCCTCTAATTCCTTGCTGGTGTTCCCCACTGGCCGAACCCAGCTGGAAGCCACTAGGCAAGGCAACCTGTTGATATCATCCATAAGGTCAGCCTCCCAAAGCAGAGAGCAGGGGAGAGCAGATCTGGAGGGGTGAACAGAAGACAGAAGACATCCAGCCAAGACGTTTGTGTGATGTGTGTGAAGATATGTAAGTATGTGAACAAAAGTTTTCTCCCAGGGGGTAGGAAGGTAAGATAGAGTCAGCGTTTATTAGTTCAGAGTCAGCAGAAAACTGAAGAAAACTCAGGAAACCTAAGAACTAATGCTTGTTCACGTCTGGGGTGCAGGCAAGTCAGCACCTCTCTGCGTCTCGGTTTCTTCACTGAACTGGGTGACCGCCAAGAGCTCCTCCCAGCTCTAACTCCCTATGGTTCTGTGCAATTAGCTTTACTGATGGGCCAGAACTTCCTGGTAACAGTCATCATGTGTGACAGATCATGGGGACTTTCCATTCACTGCAGACCCTCTTCCACAGCGCCCCTCGGGAGACAACTCTGATGCTTTCTCTTAGCTGACAGTGCATCCAATTAATAAGCTTCTCCTATAATGGCTTCTAAGGAACCCTGGTGGTACAACCGTCAAATAGCTCAGCCACTAGCCAAAAGGTTGATGGTTGGAACCCACCAGCTGCTCTGTGGGAGAAAAGACCTGGCAACGTGCTCCCGTAAAAACTGCAGCCTAGGAAACACTATGGGGCAGTTCTACTCTGTCCTGTAGGGTTGCTATGAGTCGGAATTGATTCAACGGCACGCAAAAACAACAATAATAACATAGTAGCTTCTAAAAGCCATGTCTCTTACCTACTGCACTCTCATTCCTTGACGGAACAAAGGAGAGAAGTACATCACGCAGGTCATCCCCATTCACATCAGCCAATTCCAATGGAGACAGGTCCCCACCTGATAGGCACACAAAAAAGCAAGTTACCACAAATCAGCTCTCTGCTGCCAGGTTACAAAGGGAATGGACGCATGGTACTGCCAGCACCTCCATAAAACCAGGCGGACTTTCGGTTCCTAGACACTTCTCCCAATGTCTCCACTAAGTATAGCTAAAAAACCCTTTATTTATTGTATATATATGCGTGTGTATAATATCCACATACATATATACACACACACATACATTTAAACACACACACACACATACATATTTATATATAAAAGAAACATAAGGCTGAAAGATGGACAGCAGAAGGCAGACCAGCTAGGGACTCTGGGACCTGAGGAACGGCACGGCGATATGCCTCCTAGGCTGTCTTTTTGCTTCATATATCCCAGACAGGGTGCTGGAGAAGCTGGAAACCCCAACACGCCAACAAGCTCTGATTTTTAAAGTCCCAGGAAAAGCTGGCTCTCTGTAGCCAAAGGACCAGGGAAGGGGAAGCCTGGCAAGATAGAAGTTTTACATAATAACCACTCTACTCCCACTAAACATCACAGGTAAAAACTGCAGCCTCGCCCCCACCCCCACAGCAAAGGCCAAGTGCAAGCCGAGACCTCCACTCTCGCCCAACTGTAACAAGGTGCCCCCCAGCCCTAGAGTGGTGTCAGAGGACTTTTTTGCCACCTGACAATACTGAGGCCCCTCCACACACAAGGGAAGCCTACACTTCTACCCCCACCCAGAGGTAATAAGGCAGCCCTTCCCCTCCCCAGAAACCCTGGTGGCACAGTGGTTAAGTGCTACGGCTGCTAACCAAAAGGTCAGCAGTTTGAATCCACCAGGTGTTCCTTGGAAACTCTATGGAGCAGTTTTACTCTGTCCTATAGGGCTGCTATGAGTTGGAATCGACTCGACGGCAATGGGTTTGTTTTTTTTTCTTTTTCCCTCCTCGCAGGGGTGATGCCAGTGGAGGCCAGTGGGGAGCCTGGTCTTCATTCCCACCTGGCAGTAATGAGGTAGTGTCCTGCACCCCCACTGCCCCCCAGCACCCTCGGCAGCACGGAGTCAGAGCAGCCTGCCAAATCTGGAGAGAATTCACACACTGCTAGTGGAAGTGTAAACTGGTACAACAACTCTGGAAAATAATTTCACATAAACTAGCAAGATTAAAGAGGCACACATCCTATGACCCAGCAATTTCACTCCTAGGTTTATACCCTAGAGAATTCTTACACATCGCATCAGGAAACACGTACAAGAATGTTCTCAGCGGCATTACTTATTTTAAATTTTTTAAAAAAGCAGGAAGCCACCTAAATGTTCACCAACGGTAAAATGGATAAATAAATCATGGAATACACAAACCCTGAAATATTAGATGGTAGTGAAAATGAGGGAACTCCAGTTATGATGCATCAACATGGATGAATCTCAAAAATATTTAAAAAATAATTTTGAACAAACAGCAAGTCACAGAAGACTACATGATTACATTTATATAAAATCCCAAACCAGACAAAATGAAAGAACATATTTGGGGACGCATGCCTACGTGGTTAAACTTTAGAGAAGAGTAAAGGGATAATCAGCACAAGAGTCAGGACTGTGTATACCTTTGGTGGGCAGAGGAGGTATGGTCAGCAGGGACACACAGGAACCTGAAAGGTCTTTATAACGTTCTCTTTCTTAAGCTGGGTGGTGGACACACTGACAATTTGTTACTAGTCTTCATGTGGTACATAAACACTACATGTGCTTATTTAGAAAAATCAAAAAAGAAAGGAAGGGAGAGGCAGCAACTCTACTTGGCAGGAACATATCATAAATCAAACCTACTCAGTTTTGCCTTACGAGAAACTAAAGACAAGAACATGGAACTCATCAGAAGCAAATTCAACTGGGATCAGAAAAGTATCAGAGACAAAATATTCCTAAATCAAGATGATGCAACGAGCCTGGGAACAGCCTAATCCGGTTTACAAGCGGCAGGAATACTCAGCACTGACAGTTTAGATGCAATCCCCATCCTTGAGCCACAGCAAGCTGATTTAAAGTAATCTGCTCCATGATGAGACAAAACAGCCGGAATTACTTGGGCACAACCACCCTATCTACTAGTAGCAAGAAAGAAAAGACAGCAGTCCTCTTTTACATGAAATTATTTTAAAATAATGCTCATTTAAAACATTAAATGTCATTATTTTAAAATAATTTCATGTAAAAGGTCACGTTTCTATAACCCACGAATGCCTGAGGGTCCTACCAGAGCACTAGCCCCTGGTCTGGCCGGCCGTGGGCCCTACTTCTCTCTGTAAATACCCCTTCCTACGGCTTTGCACGTCCCTGATACAGTACTGGCGCCACAACAGGAAACCAGCAAACCACGGCTCTGTCCTCTCTGCGTCCACCGCCAACAGAGACACAATAGAACAGTGTTCCCCAGTGTTCGATACGTATCGTTCCATTCTTTTGTTTGATTTCAAATTTGACCCTCCTAACCATCTCCAAACACAGAGAGGAAAATGCTCAATGGCACACATTAATTTTTTAAGACTTGCAATGGAATTTCAAAGTAATCAGATATACCGTGAAGTTTTACGGAAGTAGGGCTGGAAATCCTACCACTCACTCACCTCCCTGGGGGCCCAAGTGGCGGCTCCAAGTGCTGTGCAGATCTCTAGGGGGACACGGGATCAGGAAAGCACATACGAGCACCAGGATCATTGAGATCACCAGAGTTAGCAGAAAGACAGATGTGCGCACATAAGACACGATGGAAGAGTTGGCCTTCTGCTCCAGGTCCCTGAGGGGCTCCGAGGGGTACCCCTCTGTGGTGACTTCTGAAAGATGTGGCTTTGCAGCCCCTGCAACCTCTGCATCGGAGTCGGGCTCTGGGGCTTCTCCCAGAGGACTCTTCCCGTTCTTGACCCCTCCGTTCTTCTGTTGCAAGTTAAGCACCAGCTCGTCTTCACTCTCGTCACTGTCAGCCTGTGTGAGGGGATCATACTCCCCTAGGTCTGGGCTCTTCTTCCCTGGAAACACAGGAAAACAGTTAGTCGTGGAGAACTGGGAAGGTACAGCCCTCCCCAAACAAATCCATGGTGACGGTGAACACTCGGAAAACAAAAACTCCAGGTTACATCACGTGTGGACCTGGGTGGCCGTTTCTAAGACAGATGCCAGCGACGTGGGGAGAATGGGGGAAAAGACAATCACAGTGTCCTAGAATTATACGCCTTCATAATCGGAAAACAAAAACTCCAGGTTACATCACGTGTGGACCTGGGTGGCCGTTTCTAAGACAGATGCCAGCGACGTGGGGAGAATGGGGGAAAAGACAATCACAGTGTCCTAGAATTATACGCCTTCATGAGTTCAAGGAACATGGAAAGGAGACAGAGAAATCAGCAAATTTCAAATATCTTTTAGTTACAACAAAACAAAAACACCTCTCAATTTGTTTGAATCTCACTAATGAAAAGGACCACGGCTCTTGGATTAACTGTCCATACAGCTAATGTACACAGTTCCCTAGATTTTCTTAGATCTCTGATATCCTAACCTTTCCTTGTAAACTTTTACAATTCTTCTCTGTACCCTGCTTTTCAGGGTCCAGTATCTGTGGCTTCCCAATTGTTCCTATGGAAACAACTTAGAAAGTTAAAACATTAAATATCATCTGGTGATGTTTTACTGGAAACTCACTTCTGAGAACCTTCCTATGATTCTAATACCCTTGCAGAAGATCTTTCAGTAAACAGTGTTCTCCTCTAAAACATGCTATTCTGAGCAGGTATTCTGGGACGGTTGGCAATGGAACAGGAAGGCAGAAGTGGAGGACCTGCCTTGAAGCTGGTCTGCACAGCCAGTACCCTGTTTTTACTTAGACTGGATGTTTATTTGGGGTGGCTGAGAGGTAGGAATTACAGCAGGGCTTGAGCATACCTCCTCCCAAGCTATCCTCCGCTCTCATTGCCAAGGACTGCATGATCATATGCCTTTACTTCATTTTGTAACCAAGTAAAAACCAAGAAAAGGTTTCTGTTTGGGGGGAATTACCTGGTAAACTAATGTAAACTCTACTGTCAAATCTTTTGTTATGAGGAAATATAAGAGACAGTACAATCCAGCTAATTAAAAACAAGAATTATTGATGCTACTCTCTGCCCCTGGGTCACTGTGATCTTGGTAATGTCATTTTATATATTACGTATCTCAGTTTGCACAACACATGAAATAAATAAAACACTATAGGGAGACCAGAAGCGGGAAAGTAAACTCTTTACAGTATGTGTTCATGTTTGGTCAATAAATGTCAAATTTTTAAAAATGAATATTCCACAGAATTATTTTATAATATTAAGTACTTTGCAAAAAACACAGAAGATACTGAGTAATCTGATATTCTATTAACTAGAAATTTCTATCCACTTTCACTTTGGGAGCTATTAACTTTTTTCCAATAAACATGGGATTTGATTTTTAAATGCACAAATAACAAAAAAATAAATAAACTGATTATTAGGAGCTTAATTCAAAACAGTATTTCCAGGAGATGTCACAGGGTCAGTACAGGTTCAAGGTAATCACTTACAATTTATATACATTCTCTATAAGCCAAAGTACTGTATTAATCAGGGCATACCATCCCCTGCCCATCCCAGATGGTTTTCTATGTGTAATAATTTGCAAACAGAACCATGTTGTTGTCAAGTGCCGTCAAGTTGATTTCGATTCCTAGCAACCCCATATGACAGAACAGAACTGTCCCACGGGGTTTTCCTGGCCGTAAACTTTGTGGGAGCAGATTGTCACATCTTTCTCCTGCAGAGCCGCTGGGTGGGTTTGTAAAATGATTTTTTTTTCCGCTAACAAAAAGAAAGAAAATACCTGACAAAGAGGAAAACATACACAGCATCCCCAAACCTCAGGGTTGGAAGAGACTTCAAGGTTCCCATAATCCAACCCCACCCCCATTCCAAAACTGCAACTCCTCACACTCACTCGCCAGGCAGTCCCTGGTGCACACGTGAACATAACCAGTATTACGTCCACTCCCCTCCAATCAAGAGAGCAAGTCCTTACACTGATTCAAGAATCTATTTCTGGCCACTTGTCAACTATCTGTCCTAGTTTTAATTTCTGGGACCCCTCTTCCACATAAAAATCCTTCAAATACTTGAAGATATTAATCATAAGAGACATAAATATGGTATTTAAGAGCTCAGGTCTTTACAACCAGATAAAAAGAGTCAAATTTTGGCTTTCTTCTTATTAACTATGTGACTTCAATTAAATTTCTTAATTATAATTGAGCTTCAATTTCCCTATTTATGAAATGGGATAATAATTGTTCCTATCTCACAGGATTGTTATGAGGATTAAATAAGTAATATATACATGCTTCTTAGTGCCTGGCCTAGAGTAACAGTCAATAAATTTTAGCTTCTATTATTATCATTACTATTACTGTTATTGGAAACCCTGGTGGCGTAGTGGTTAAGAGTTTGGCTGCTAACCAAAAGGTCACAGTTGAATCCACAAGGCACTCCTTGGAAACCCTACGGGGCAGTTCTACTCTGTCCTATACGGTCGCTATGAGTCAGAATCAACTTCAGGGCAACGGGTTTGGGTGTTTTTGTTTTTTTTTTTTGGTATTATTGTTATTATTACCATTATAATTATCATTACCATTACTGTTGGATTATATCTTCCAACATCCCCCACCCAGTCTTCTCACCTCCAAGTTAAATATTTCCACCTCTTTCAACTCATTATCGGAAGAAACACTGTTGCTGGTATTCTTGCCCTCCGGTCAACTTTCTTCTGGATACAATGTGATATGTCACTGTTTTTTCAAGTATGGTACCCGGAACTGGATACAATCCCGAGTACAGTCTGACCAGGACAGTGGAGGGCAGAACTGTGTCCTCTCCTGTTCAAGACAGTACACTGCAATTCAATCACTGGAACCTAAGCTCTCAGTAGCTTTCTTGGCAGTCACATCACACAAGTGAGTCAACTAAAACTCCCAAGTATTTCCTACACACACTCCTCCTATCCTATCATTGCACAATTGAAATTTTAGCATCAAGTGAAAAGTTCAGCATCAACCCCTACTAAATTCTACCTTGCAATAAATCTATCAACCTGAAACAGTACCTTTGCCAAAGGGAAATCATAAATAAAATAGTGGCTGACAAACAATTTAAAAGAAATGCACTTTTGTTATATCATATACTCTCACAGGCAGGGAGAAAGACAACTTGGCTGCATATGCTACAGAAACTTGTAAAATCTTTAATAAGTCTATAAAAATAATTTGCATGTATTCTTTGAAAAACAAAGCTGCTGCTGAATTTGTCTGTTTAAAAAGATGATATGCTTCTAGTTAATGGTGGCAAAGGAAGGCATTTCTGCCATACTGTCTTCCTAACACCAGGAAAAACAAAATGAAAATTTTTTTAAAACAGGAAACAGCCACATTCCCAAACCACAATTTGTGAAAAACTGTTGCCAAATGCAATGAAACATGTATCAAAGTGAAGAAGCACTGTAGGAGGAGACACATATTTCTGCACATCTCTAGCAACGAACAGAGGTCACAGAATTAATGACGATCATGATGATAATAACTGGGGTGCCTACTATGCCTTCAGCTCTGGTCCAAGCACTTTACACAGATTAATTCATTTAATCCTCACAATAACTCTATAAAGTAGGTATTATTATTATTATCCTACTTTATCAACAACAACAAAGAAAACTAAAATATAGAGAGGTAATTTGCCTAAAATCACAGAATTAGCGAGAAGAAAAGCCAGGATTCAAAGCCAGGCAATGACTAAGAGTCCATACTCTTAACCAGTAAGCTGTACTCCCTCCCGTGTTCTAAAAATATATAGTCATACCAGTAATCACTTGCTTGAAAAGGCAAATTCTGGAATCACAGAGCACCAATGAGCTCCACCAACACTACAGAGTCAAAGGGGAGGTGAGACTGAATGAATGAGAAAAAGCGTAGGTTTATATCTTTGCAAGAAGCAGGCTGTGAGCACAGCAGGGTAGAAACGTAACTAAATACAGGGGCAATCCTTTCTGATGAGGTTGATTTTTGTTGCTGGTTTGTGACTTTGCAGACCCCATGCATTACAGGATGGAACCGCTCCTCAGGGTTTCCTCGGCTGTAATCTTACAGAAGCAGCTCACCAGGCCTGTTTCCTCTGCGGTGCCCCTGGGTGGGTTTGAACCGCAAACCTTTTGGTTACCAACCGAGTGCAAACCATTTGCGCCATCCAGGGACCTTCTTAACAGATTGATTCTTGACAGTTTTATCAGTCCAGGTCCAATTAGGAGACAGAAACTAGACAAGTAATTCAAAGAAGGAAAGTTTAATATAAAAAAAATTACTAAACAATGATAGAAGTATACATATTAAGATGGAAAGAGAACTCTAAAAGGTACACTAGGCCTGAGGGACCATATCCAAACAAACTTAGTACTTAAGGGGCCCAGATCCATTTTCACAGATCAGGCAACAAAGGTGAATTTGGAGCTGAGGAGCAACAAACTTTTAAATGGCACAACAACCAAAGAGAAGTAAATGCTAAATCAGCAGTCTAAGGTGACAAATAGGCAGCCCCCAGCTAGCCAGGATAGAGACACCCACAAAGGAAGAGTGCCAGTGGGAAAGAGATCTGAGTTAATAAGCCTAAATTCTAGCTTCCAACGGACCCAGCTCACTCCCCTAACTGCAGCTTGCACTTCATATGTCAGCAATAGCTAACTGTAAAACAACTGCCCTATTTAAATATGATCAATAATCAGAAGGAGTCCCTGGGTGGCACAGTTAAGCAATCAACTACTAACCAAAAGGTTGGCAGTTCAAACTCACCCAGAGGCACCTCGGAAGAAACAACTGGCAATCTGTTTCCAAAAGGTCGCAGCCTTGAAAACCCTATGGAGCAGTTCTATACTCTGCACGCAGGGGGTCACCAGGAGTCGAAATTGACTCAACGGCAATGGGTTTATT